CCACTGGTCGCTCACTCACCAAATCTGTAGAGACAGGACAATCAACACCAACTAGAGCCACATCTTTATTAAGAGGAGACGAGCAGCAAATCTGGATTTCACCGTTTCCAGATGAGAAAAGCTCTCGGGTAAAAAAAAAAGGTTCCTTAGACATGTATTGTTGTCGAGCGTCGTGTGTACTGTGATCCACATGTGAGTCCAGCTGCGCTCTCATAGAGAGAAAATGAAAACAAAACCTTCATTGCAGCAAATTATAAAAGCAACACTGCACGCTTGTTTTGGCAACACAATGTGTCGTCTCTCTGCCGTCTGACTCTGAACACTGTAACAGGTAAAAACTTCGAAGTTATCATGCACATTAATGAAGTTGCACCGCATACACAATAGAGCGCGCTTATTTGTTTGAACCAAGTCTTACTCATGCATTAATGCAACACACTCAGAGACGTAATAAGGCACTCCCAGGTACAGACGTCCAGTCTACATGCTAAGATCTCATGGCCGTGACGCAGCTTCAAAAATTTGTTTCAAACCGGAAGTACGAATTTGCTCGAAATAACGAAAAAACAACCTAATAGTATTAGTGTCCTAATAGTGTTTTTAGCAGTGTGGGACACATATACGACTGTAACAGCTCAAAAAATGTGTTTTGGTGTTTCGTGACCCTTTAAGTACAGTACTTGGGTTAAAAGTTGAGTCAACTCCAAAGAAAGCTGTGCAACAAATTGCCTTACAATTTTAAGTTGAGTCAATTTTTTATTTTTTTTTTTATGTGTGTGAATTTCAATGACAGTACAAATGATATTTTTGAAGGCCGTTTTCTCAAAATGACTATTTTTTCTTCTGCGCTGAGACAGAAATCTCCAGTCAGCTGTACTTCAGCACACATTAACTCTTACATGTTCACAAAAATAATAATTGTACGATAAATTCAGTTGAGGTCAAAATTATTTATTAGGGATGCTCTGATTGATCAGTCAGAGATCGGTTTCGGCTGATAATCACATTTCATGACTCGAACGGTACTCCGCCGATCTCATGAACTGATCGCAAGTGTTTGTTTATAAGCAGAAGAAGACCCACGTGCGCACCCAGGTAATATACATCAGCAGCTACAACATGTGAGGAGGATGTGTGGGGGCGTGAGGGAAAATGTGCTTTCTGCATTGGTTATATAAAGCTTAAAGCATCGGAATTGATACTAGCAGATCACCATGACAAGGAATCGGTACTCCTATAGGCTGAAAATCCTGATCGGCGCATGCCTATTATTTACCCTCCTGTGATTTTTTTTCTTTTTTAAATTTTCCCAAATGATGTTTAACAGAGCAAGGATTTTTTCACAATATTTCCTATATAATTTTTTTTCATCCTCTGGAGAAAGTCTTATTTGTTTTATTTCGACAAAAATAATAGCAGTTTTTATTTATTTATTTATTTTTTTGGTCAATATAATTATCCCCCTAAAGCAGTTTTTTCCCGATTGTCTACAGAACAAACCATCATTATACAATGATTTGCCTAATTACCCTAACTTGTCTAATTAAACTAATTAATCTAGTTAAGCTTTTAAATTGCAATTCAAGCTTTTAAGAATACTAGTATCTTGAAAAATATCTATAAAATATTATGTACTGTCATCATGGCAAAGAAATCAGTTATTAAAAATGACTTGAGTTTAGAAATGTGTTGAAATAAATCTTCTTACAGAAAATAAAAGAAAAATTAACATTGGGGCTAATAATAGGAGGGCCTTCAGCTGTATATGCAAATAAGAACAGATTTAATTCAATAATGCCAATTTTGCTAATTTAAACAACATTTTAGAAAACTAGATAAATATGGTGATGACTATTAGTTGATTCATCAGCAGTGTCTGTCTTTAAAGTTAACAATGGTTTAAATGTTGCTGTACAGAGCAGAGCGATGGGCTGTGCCAGTCTCTCACCTCTCCCTGTCTGAGTCCCAAACCTCAGAAGCCTTGGGAGAAAGACGCATGGGAGATTCCACGCGAGTCCCTCAAACTGGACAAACGTCTGGGAGCAGGACAGTTTGGGGAGGTCTGGATGGGTAAGACACTCAGATATCGATTTATTGCTTATTCAAATTTGTGTAATGATAAATAATGTTGTTTATTTAGGGTTTAAATGCTTTTGGACAAAGTGAAATACAGGATTGAAGTTGATAGCTATGTGAAGCTTTAAGTAGATTTAAAGTGTTGCAAATTTTGGTAGTGTATTATACATTAACGCGTCGAAAAGCTGCCACAACTAGAAATTGCTCAAATGTATCATTTATTTATTTAGTAAATAAAAGTAACGTGTATCAAACTTTTTAACTGTTTTCTGAAAATATATCCTAAATTATCAATATTATTATTTTTAATATATTCAATTACAATTTTGCCGTTTAGATTCTTTCATTAACAACAGAATATTCAACAGAATGTTCATTCAATTAAAGTCTTTCACCTCGTCATCAGTCCCCGTCACTACCGGTGTGCCCCAGGGTTCAGTTTTGGGTCCCCTGCTATTTATCATCTATCTTCTTCCACCTGGTTATATTTTCCGCAAACACCAAATTCATTTTCATTGCTGATGACACCCAACTCTACCTATCAACCAAACTTAACCACAAACTCCCCGCTTCATCCCTTACTAACTAGATTGCAGACATCCAATCCTGGTTCACCACAAACTCCCTGAAATTAAATAATTATAAAACTGAACTTTTACTTATACAATCCACTTAAACAAATCACAAAACTTTTCAGTTCCTACAGATGATTTTGTCATTACCCCCTCCCTTCAGGTTAAGAGTCTGGGGGTCATCTTCAACAGCACCCTTTGATTCACTGCACATGTAATAATGTCACCCGGTCCACTTATTTCCACCTTCGAAATATAAATCGGTTACGTCCTTCCCTCACACCTCATTCAGCTGCCCTTCTTGTTCATAGTTTAGTCACATCCCATTTAGACTACTGTAATTCCCTTCTGTTTGGCCTCCCTAACAAAACCCTTCATAAATTACAACTGGTACAAAATGCTGCAGCCCGTATTATCACCAAAAAAAAAAACTCTATCTGTCACATCACACCCATTCTACAACAGCTTCACTGGCTTCCCATCTTTTTCAGAATTACCTATAAAATACTTCTCCTCACTTTTAAAGCCATCAACAGTCCTGCTCCTCCACACCTTGCAAATCTTGTTCAAATCGCCACACCTTCTCGAACACTCAGGTCTTCTACTTCCATTCACCTAACTGTTCTCTCTGTCCGCCTTGTCATGATGGGGAGCAGATCCTTCAGCCACTCTGCTCCTCAGCTTTGGAATTCACTCTCTTTCACAATTTAAATCCAAACTTAAATCACATCTGTTTAGAACAGCTTATTCACTTTAACCCGACTGCATTTTTAAAGTTTGTATTGTATTTTATTGACTTTTATTGTGTTTTTATTTGAACTGAGTGTTCTAGCTGTCCTGTACGGTAACCTCGAGTGTCATGAAAGGTGCCTTTAAATAAAATGCATTATTATTATTATTATTAATATTTAGCAATGTATTTTAAGCATTGATTGATTTATTCATTTATTAATTGATTCATTAATTTATTAACTGATTCATTCATTCAATTGATAAAAAAACTATCCATATCATATTACCAATATGTTTTAAAAATATATTTAAATATATTTTATTTAACATTTTAGTGATGTATGCTAGATTTTTAGTATGTTGGACTATATTTGATGATATTTTTATAATATATCATACATTATATGTTGAATATATTACAGATTATTTACACCAACAGTTATCTATGATTTTATTGTTACATTAAGGCAATAAGCCATGTGAGGATATTTGCAGTTTATTGTTTTATTGCTTATTTCAAAGTCAAAGTCAGCTTTATTGTCAATTCAACCACATGTACAGGACATACAGAGAATAAAAATTGTGTTACTCACAGACCTTAGGTGCCTAACATATAATATTAATACAAAAGTACAATTTTAAAACTAAATTACCAATAAATATAATTAAAATATAAGTAAAAATAAAAATTTGTAAACAATACAATTACACTAAAGGGCACATAGGGCCTATATATATATATATATATATATATATATATATATATATATATATATATATATATATATATATATATAAAGCAATATACTTTAACTAATTTTAAACCTAAATAAAAACACTAACCTGAAAATCTAAGAACTGACCTGATCCTGAACCTGATCTGAAACAGGGCAATTTTTTCAGATCCTGTGGTGAAATGAAGCGTAGAGTACCAATGAGACTTATCTCTGTTTGCTTTTCAGCAATGTACAACAAGCACACCAAAGTGGCGGTGAAGACTATGAAGCCTGGCAGTATGTCTGTGGAAGCTTTCCTTATGGAGGCCAACTTAATGAAAAGCCTACAGCACGACAAACTGGTCCGTCTCAACGCTGTGGTCACCAAAGAAGAGCCCATTTACATCATTACAGAGTTCATGGAGAAAGGTGCATGCAACTCCAAACACTTTAGTCAGGATATACATAGCAATATTATATTTAATGTGGATAAATGAGAGGGTGAGAGGGATATGGGCTTAGAGTTTTTATAAAGTCACACTATGTAAAGGTAGTAGATTAGATCATTTTTACAACTCGAGACTTTTAGATCAGTTATACCTATCACAAAAGGATTTCTCTTGCGATATATAAGCATGACCTTTTCAATTATATAAAGACTTTATTATCAGATTCCGCTGATGTTTTTAATTTATTTATTTTTTAGTTCTTTATTCTGCATCGATTCTGTAATTTTCAAAATTCATCACCATTTTCTCATGAATTGATTGGTTAGTTTTAACAGCGGATGGCACTCTGGGCTAGTTTTTACCAGCAGATTGCACTCTAGGCTAGTTTTTATCAGCAGTTGGCGCTCTGGGCTAGTTTTTATCTGCAGTTGGCGCTCTAGGCTAGTTTTTATCAGCAGATGGTGCTTTAGGCTAGTTTTTATCAGCAGATTGCGCTCTAGGCTAGTTTTTACCAGCAGATGGCGATCTAGGCTAGTTTTTATCAGCAGATGGCGCTCTAGGCTAGTTTTTACCAGCAGATGGTGCTCTAGGCTAGTTTTTAACAGCAGATGGGGCTTTAGGCTAGTTTTTACCAGCAGATGGTGCTCAAGTATAGTTTTAAAACAGCAGATGGCACTCTAGGCTAGATTTTACCAGCAGACTGCACTCTAGGCTAGTTTTTTATCAGCAGATAGAGCTGTAGGCTAGTTTTTACCAGCAGATGATGCTCTAGGCTAGTTTTTAACAGCAGATAGAGCTGTAGGCTACTTTTTACCAGCAGATGTCACTTTAGGCTAGTTTTTTGCTAGCAGTTGGCGCTCTAGGCTAGTTTTTATCAGCAGATGGCGCTCTAGGCTAGTTTTTAACAGCAGATAGAGCTGTAGGCTACTTTTTACCAGCAGATGTCACTCTAGGCTAGTTTTTTGCTAGCAGTTGGCGCTCTAGGCTAGTTTTTATCAGCAGATGGCGCTCTAGGCTAGTTTTTACCAGCAGATATCACTCTAGGCTAGTTTTTATCAGCAGATGGTGCTCTAGGCTAGTTTTTAACAGCAGATGACACTCTAGGGTGGTTTTTACAAGCAGATGACAATGTAGGCTAGTTTTTTCATATGGCACTCTAGGGTGTTTTTTAATTATAGATCTTACCTGCAGATAACACTCTAGAGTGGTTTTTACCAGCAGATGGCCCTCTAGGCTGGTTTTAATCAGCAGATTACTCTAGGCTAGTTTTTACCAGCAGATTGCGCACTAGAGTAGTTTTTACCAGCAGATGGCACTCTAGGGTGGTTTTTACTAGCAGATGGCAATCTAGGCTAGTTTTTATCAGCAGATGGGGCTCTAAGCTAGTTTTTACTAGCAGATGGCGCTCTAGAGTGGTTTTCACCACATATGGCACTCTAGGGTTGTTTTTACCAGCAGATGGCATTCTAGGCTAGTTTTTATCAGCAGATGGCGCTCTAGGCTAGTTTTTTGCCATCTAGATGGCTATTTTTTATCTACACTCTAATACTCATGATGAAGAGCGCTTGTCCATTTGACAAATCATGTGAGATGGTTTTTATGCAACAAAAATGAATTTAAACACAGCTCACTACGAATACTCTTGTACTTCGCTAAAACCTTTCCTAACTTTATTAATTATTATTTTACCTCCAACTGCTTTATGTAAGGAATTGTAGTGCAAGCAGCGTACAGCTGTTTGTAAAGCATACATTGAGATCTGCTGTTAGAAACTGAGCTCACAATCGATTCAAGAGAGAATATCGATACATTTTCACAATCTCAGCATCGATGCAGCATCAATTTCTCAAATGCCACAGCTTAACACTTACTTGCACATCTTGCTCCTAAAAGGAATGGTAGATGGCACTCTGATTGGTTAAATTGTTAAAATTAAAATAAAATAATTATTAATTAAATTAAAATTAAAATAATGTTTTGCCCAAAGCACACCCGTAACTCATTAAGAAAATAACACTTTTAAAACATGCGCTGAGTACACAGACTATTTTTCGCATCCTTAAAATAGCAAAAGTGCAATTACACCTGCGCCTTAGACTGTGATCTTGGATTGTCAGAATAGATTCCATTGTATTTTTATCCCTCACAGCATGGTTTTCATACTTCATACAAAAATAAACATTGCAACATCACTGTGTGCAAAAGCATATCTTTATATTTCTCTGTTACTTACATTTGTGTGCATTTGATTTACAGGCAGTTTACTGGACTTCATTAAAAGCGACGAAGGGAACCGAGTCCAGCTGCCCAAACTGATCGACTTCTCAGCACAGGTGAGATGCTTTGAAGGCCTCATTTGCTCTGTTAATTTGTTTCCTCCCCCACATAGAGTTCCCTTCATCAGGTTTGTCCTAGTTCATTTTAATATTCAAATGCAAAACCGACAGACAGTAACGTTTGTGTTGAGGTGTGTGTGTGTGTGAGAGAGAGACAGAGAGAGAGAGAGAGAGAAAGAGAAAGAGAGGGTGGTAGATATTTACATGACAGTCTATTCATTTTTCTCTTTGTACTGTTCCAAGATCATATCAGTTCCCTGTCTGTATTGTACAAGAGAATTTTGTTTCCGTTTTTTTTATTTAGGCTTACAGCGATTATGAAAACACTATGAAATGATTATAAAAACAGCTGCATTTTTTCTGTTCTTCTAAAGCCATATTCATTTCTTTGTAACCTCAAAATCAGTCAATGAATGTGACATTGTGTGTCTGTTGGAAGTGCTCTATAATGATAAAGAGGTGCTGCAACACCTGGAATTTGGCTATGTGCTTAAACAGACAAATACACAGAAGTTGAAATCAGAATTATTAAACTCCCTTTGATTTTTTTTCATTTTTAATTATTTCCCAAATGATGTTTACCAGAGCAAGGAAATTTTCACAGTAAGTCTGATAATATTTTTTCTTCTGGAGAATGTCTTTTTGCTTTTATTTGTTTTATTTTGGCTAGAGTAAAAGCAGTTTGTAATTTTTTTAATTCCATTTTGAGGTCAAAATTATAAGCCCCTTTAAGCTATATATTTTTCCATAGTCTACAGAACAAACCATCATTATACAATAGTTTGCCTAATTGCCTAAGATGAAATAAATCAGCTATTAGAAATGAGTTATTAAAACTATTATGTTCAGAAATGTGTTGAGAAAATCTCCATTAAACTGAAATTGGGGAAAAAAAATAAACAGGGGAAAACGATTCAGGGCGGCTATTAATTCTGACTTCAACTGTATGCATATAACATACTGTATAAATTCTCATTATTTTTTAATACATCGATAGTTATGCAGTGGCACAGAGTTAGACCTCTTTCTTGACTTAACCTAGAAAAGCAACACGTGCGGCATGACATCACTTTTTTGTAGAGTTTTAATATTGCTATAGGTTAAATATCAATATTAACTGATATATGTTAAATCCAGGCAAAGTAGAACATGGAAGCATAAAGCACAAGTATGTGTGCGGTCTGGAGGTATTATCAAGTTGATGATGAAAATATTGCCTTAGCAAACTGAGAGATATGTAAACTTGGGATTGCCTGTTGGGTATTTTTAGTTAAGGTGCTATTTGTTTTACATATTAGATTTTTTTGTACTGTCGTACTAAAGTCCAAAAGTGAAGAATAGATGTTATTTATTACTTGATTGTTCAAGCTACCTCACAGCAGTGCTCTGTTTGTTAAAAGAGTTGTTGAATGTTTAAATAAGGTGAATTAAATAAAAAAATAAGGAACATCCTGGATCTCTTTCTTCGCTTTTCTTTATACTTTTTATGTATTATAAAAGTATTGGATTGGGTTTCGGTATCGGCAGATAGTTGAATTTAAATGACTCGGACTCGAGGGCAAAAAAAACTGATCGGGACATCCCCAAAAATAAATTCATAATTGGATTTTATTTATGAATTAACTTATATTGAATAAATGAAACCATTTGTGTGACCACTCTTTGTTTTTTAAAGAAACTGTTTACACTAATACATTTGCATATTAGTATGCATTTAGAAGTATTTTCTAGACAAGCAGAAAAGTTTGTCTTGTTTCCACAAATAATAGGTCAAAATTAAGTGAGTTTTTCTTTAAAACAAGCAAGATAATCTGCCAATGAATAGAGAAACAATATTACATTACTTACCCCATTCGTGGATTATTATGCTTGTTTTAAAGAAAAACTCAACTCAATTATTATCAGTATTTCTGAAAACAAGACAGTATCTGTCTAGAAAATGCTGTTTGATTTAAGTATTTTTAGATATTTGGTCAAGAAACAGGACAAAAAAATCGAAGTAAGAATTTTGTTATGGTTACACCTGGCATCCACACTACTCCGACATCTTTGACCAGTGAAAATGAAGAGTTTTGTATAGACGGGCAGTTAAGCAAACTGTTGAAAACGTAGGCACAGCTATTCACAATAGATCTCTGATTACTCTTCTATAGCATACTATTGCATATTGTTCCCTGATCCATCTAGCCCCTCTCATTTGACCATTACATAACCAGTAGACTGCAAGTACTGATGCCGGCAAAATGTGAGTGAATGGTCACATATCATAGGTTTAAAGCTGTATAGAATGGACAGAGATGTTTTTTTCTAAAACACAATGATCAGTCAGATGAGTAGTGTTTACATAAAAAAAGAAATTTTAAAACAAAAAATGCACTACTGTAAATAGAATCCTAGCTACACTTGTGATAAACCTTACAGGTAGCTTTAAATAATCGCTTTCTTGAAGAGTCTTGGAGATTAAGGGTCAATTACAATGGCTAAATGAATGTTTGGAAATGCAAATTGATATTTCTGATGGCATACTACAACAAATAGCTATTTCAAAATCCTATTTAGCTAGTCTACATGAAAAAAAAACATTGTTAATTAAAAAAAAACAAGTGATGATTTTGAGTTCAAGTGTGCGTGACGGTTGCAAAATAAAAAAAGGGGTGCGACACTGAGTTGGAAAGAGGAAGAGAACTACGAGCACTTAAAAAGACAGATGTGAATCTGCCCTGAGCGATAAGAGGACACACACACACACACAACCACACACACAACCACACACACACAGACACACAAATTCATCATAGCTTATCTTACCTGTTGGCGACTAACCTCCTGTTCTCTTATTAGCATTAGCATTTAGCATTAATCTAAATGTGGCTGTGTTTCCTCATTTAGATTGCAGAAGGTATGGCTTACATTGAGCAGAGGAACTACATTCACAGAGATCTCCGTGCTGCCAACATCCTGGTCAACAAAAGTTTAGTGTGTAAGATTGCTGATTTTGGACTGGCACGTATCATAGAGGACAACGAATACACTGCTAGAGAAGGTCTGTCTGGTATTTGAGTCATGTTGGTAAACTTCAGCATGTTTATGGGTCGTTTTAATGTTGTTTTCTTGTGACCTCAGGTGCAAAGTTCCCTATTAAGTGGACAGCTCCAGAGGCTATAAACTATGGCTCCTTCACCATCAAATCCGATGTGTGGTCTTTCGGCATCCTGCTGACTGAAATCATTAGCTATGGCCGCACGCCATACCCAGGTGACTGTTCCACTGTTATCAGTTACATTTTTCACACTAAAATTAAGAAAAAAGGCTCTTATGCTCACCAAAATGGTTTAGTTATCAAAAATACAATGAATCAAGCAATATCACTTTACTGTAAATTAAATAGAAGTTTACAATTATAAATCATTTGCAATATGAAATAAATATATATTTGTATCTCTGTTTTATTGTTTTGAGTGTGTTAACCCTACTGAAAAATCCAGCTTAAACCAGCCTAGGCTGGTTTAAGCTGGATTTTTTAGTAGGGAAAATATATTAATGTGACTATAAAGCTGAATATTTAGCATGATTACATAAATGTTTATTTGGTCCACAAAAAATTTATTTTTATTAATATTATTATTATTATTATTCATTCATTCATTTTCTTGTCGGCTTAGTCCCTTTATTAATCCGGGGTCGCCACAGCGGAATGAACCGCCAACTTATCCAGCAAGTTTTTACGCAGCGGATGCCCTTCCAGCCACAACCCATCTCTGGGAAACATCCACACACACATTTACACACACACACACTCATACGGACAATTTAGTCTACCCAATTCACCTGTATTGCTTGTGTTTGGACTGTGGGGGAAACCGGATCACCCGGAGGAAATCCACGCGAACACAGGGAGAACATGCAAACTCCACACAGAAACGCCAACTGAGCCGAGGCTCGAACCAGCGACCCAGGGACCTTCTTGCTGTGAGGCGACTGCAGTACCTACTGTGCCACTGCTTCGCCCATTATTATTATTATTATTATTATTATTATTATTATTATTATTGTTGTTGTTATTATTAGTATTATTATTAATGTTATTATTATTATTATTATTATTATTATTGTTGTAAATTGTGTTAACAATTTTCATTACTTTTGATAAATAGAAAGTCTAAAGAAAACATTAACTAAATTAATCCAACGCATGCTTGATGTCATTATATTTGGAGTTTATAGGAAATCTTTTTTTAAATAATTAAAATGAAAATAATATTAAACATTCTGTTCAACCATGTTATACAATGACATTTTACTTTTAAAATGATTACATTTGACAAAAAAAAAATAATATAAACAATAATATAAACAAATGTTTCTAATTATGTTTGTAAAATTAAATCTCAATTTTGGGCAAAATAATGTTCCATTATCATTCATCATAGCATATTTATTTATGAAAACCAATTAAGACACTTGTGTATGCTGATTAAATACATAAAATAATACATGATTATACTTAAAACGCGTTTAAGAACTAAACCAAGTGGTTAAAGTACAGTATACTCGCAAAACATATAGATTTAACATATAGATTTACATCCTCATGCACCATTTCCTCAGTGGTTCTCTCTCTTTTATTAACTTCTTCCTTTAGTTGAACACAAACAATTCTGATGGAAGATATTATGAAGCAACCATTGACATATAGTAGGAACAAGAAATGCTGCTTTTTTACAACAGTCTTCAGAATATATTCCTTTGTGTTCAACAAAAGAATGAAACCATGTGGAACAAGTGAAGGATGAGTAAATGATGACAGAATTTTCATTTTTGTATGAACTATCCTTTTAACATGACGATTAATAAGTATATTGAAGCTGCACTGTGATCCTTAAAAATATTGTATTGATGTCTTTTAATATGCCAGATTTTTTTGTATAGAAACTTTTCTTACACTGAATGACATTTTACAAAGTGTCTGTCTTCTGTAGATCAAACTAAAATATATGAAAGTCATTTTAGACATTGCTTTTTAACAACCAGTGAACAGGCTGTGCATAAATATGATGTGATGCAATAATAGCAAGCTACAGTTTTGGTACTTCCAGCAGAGCAACCATACAGTTTAAAACACAAATGTTAACTCAAATTACTTTTTTAGACATTGACCCAGAACTATGTAGTAACAGAAGCAACAGCTAATAGTAGAATCTCCTGAACTCTCTGTTTTACACTGTGTGTGTGTTTTTGTGTAGGGATGACCAACCCCGAGGTAATCCGTGCTCTTGAGAGAGGTTACCGCATGCAGCGTCTGGACTCCTGTCCTCAAGAGCTCTACGACATCATGCTAGAGTGCTGGAAGAACAAGCCTGAGGACAGACCCACCTTTGAGTACCTGCAGAGCGTGCTGGAGGACTTTTACACTGCCACCGAGAGCCAGTATCAGCAACAACCTTGAGAAAAACACACACACACATACACACACACACACAAAATATTTCAATCCTTCACATCAGTAACTCTCAAAGAAATCAACACACACATCCACCTTTTTTCCTGCATGTGTCAATTGCATTTCAAACTATGGGTCTGTTTCGTGAACTTCTAATCAAAAGAACTGAATAAAACCCTTTTAGATGATAGAGTTGTACCACAAAAAGGAATCAATGAACAGTAACAGTTACATTTGGCCTCGTACTTTATTTTTATCCATCATTATAATTACGCTATGCTTAATGTTTTAAAGTAGCAGTCGAATCACAAGCACATCTGTGGCCAAAGCTCTTTTTTTGAGTTCACTGTGTTTAGTTCAGGCATCATGGTGGGCAAGAAGGTCGCTGGTTCGAGTCTCGGCTGGGCCAGTTGGCATTTCTGTGTGGAGTTTGCATGTTCTCCCCATGTTCATGTGCGTTTCCTCCAGGTGCTCTGGCTTTCCCCACAGTCCAAAGACATGCTCTATAAGTGAATTGAATCAAATAAATTGGCCGTAGTGTATGAGTGCGTGTATGAATTCAAGTATGACTAGGTGTTTCCCAGTACTGGGTTACAGCCAAAAGGGCATCCACTGCATAAAACATATGCTGGAATAGTTGGCGGTTATTTCCACTGTGGCCACCCTGGGTAAATAAGCGACTAAGCTGAAGGAAAATGAATGTGCTTTGTTGGCCCAGATCATTATCTATTTCCATTCCCTTCAGTACAGTAATATTCAATGTATGGCTGTAATATTCCCCCTGAAAGATTTGTAGAGAGTAGTTTTGGGCATTATTTATATTAAGTAATGTAGTTTAAACTGTGCGCTCGTGTTTTTAAATATTTTGGTGTGTTAAACTAGTTAATAATATTGTTCAGAAGGTCATGATTCACACTCAATACTTTGTATAGCTTTATTTTACATTCTTAGGAGAAACAAAACACAATGCCTTCCTCAGTGCGTGACACAATCATCTCACACCACCCTTTTATCCCACAGTTAATCACATTATGTCATCAGTTAGACAAGTCATAAACTTCTCTGACCACATTTCTGCTCGATCATGCAGATTCGCACTTTATAACATCTGAAAGATCCGACCCTTCTTATCTGAACATGCAGCTCAACTCCTTGTTCAAGCTCTTGTTCTCTCCAAACTGGATTACTGCAACTCTCTACTAGCCGGGCTTCCAGCTAACTCTATCAAGCCTCTTCAGCTGCTTCAGAACGCAGCAGCATGAGTGGTCTTTAATGAACCTAAAAGAGCACATGTCACTCCGCTGCTCATCCGTTTGCACTGGCTGCCAGTTGCTGCTCGCATCAAATTCAAAGCTCTGATGTTTGCCTACAAAGCGACTTCTGGCTTTGCTTCTTCTTATCTGCTCTCTCTTCTGCAGATCTATGTGCCCTCCAGAAACTTGTGTTCTGTGGATGAACGTCGCCTCGTGGTTCCATCCCAAAGAGGGAAGAAATCACTTTCCCGAACGCTCGCATTCAATCTGCCCAGTTGGTGTAATGATCTCCCTAACTGCATCAGAACGGCAGAGTCACTCGCTGTTTTCAAGAAACGTCTAAAAACTCTATTTAGTCTCCACTTCACTTCCTAATCTGCAATTGCCTCTCTGGATATACCACTAACTATACTAAAAAAATAAAATAAAAATGTATTAATACTTTCCTTCTTAGACTTTACAGACCTGAAACTTGCCTATAACACTTATTCATTGTTGCTCTTATAGTTGTGTAAATTGCTTCCTTGTCCTCATTTGTAAGTCGCTTTGGATAAAAGCGTCTGCTAAATGACTAAATGTAAATGTAAAATGTACGTTTCAATATACTGTATTAACCACACTAAAAAATTGTGAAGACATTGTGCTGAAACGTCTGTGTTATGTTTCTCCTAATAATATAAAATAAAGCTATATAAAGTAATTATTTAATGAGTGCGAATCATGACCTTCTGAAAGATATTATTTACTGTACGCCAAAATTTTGTTAATTCTATAATTTTTTTAAAATATTCAATGAATGATTACAATAGACAACATGACATCTCTTTGTGCACAATAAAAAAAAAAGACTGTCCCTATTGATTGTACAATTTCAGTTATATGAATTTGAGATTTTCTAAACTACATGAAGATGGAAATCAGTGTATTACTCACTATCGGGAAAAGCGTAACGGCTAACATGGATTCCATAAGCGCCTCAGCCGATCATGTAACAGCTTTAAAATTGCTGGTCAGCATTTACAGTTGATAGACCTAGCTGATGCAGCATTCCCTATAATGCCTTTTTATCAGGGTAATGATTCACCATGAATGCATTGTTTAGTGTTTAACATGTTGAAGATCAGCGGAGAGGCTTTCGATTGATAAAATGACAAGTTGTTTAATCAGAAAAGCTGTTTATTCAGTAAAGTGACACCTCTCCTTCATTGACATCCATTAAAATAAAAACGGCCTCAGGGCTCCTTCCTCAGGTACTGGCGTTAGCTGTTATGCCATTTCGGCGAATGACTTCCGGATTGTCATCTATTGTCTTGGGTTATTCTCATAATTCACGCAAAGCATCACAGGCTGCGGAAAAAAAGGTGGATAATTTATCCATGCCAACCCATTGACTTTATACATATGTAGTGATATCAAATGTGAAGGCGTAGGTGTGTTATTTAAATGATGTGTAAATGAATACATTTCTAATTCCTGCACAGCCCTTTGCCTTACGCAGAGTGCTGCACAATAGAAGCTCTATAGTTATCATTTTAATGTAAAACGCGCAAGAGATAATATTGTCCTTACTCACTTTACTGATTTATTTTATATATATATATATATATATATATATATATATATATATATATATATATATATATATATTACATTTTTCGTGTATGTATATATATATATATATATATATATATATATACGAATAATGTTATATCTTTAATAATGGAGTTATCACAGTTATTTAGAATAAGAGATGATTAATATATTTTTCTAAGACCAAAAAATTATGGTTCCCCTTCATAGGAACTCAGATGTGTGTCTAGACAAAGACACTTTAGGAGATCGCTACAACCAAAGTGTCTTTATCTAGACACATGTCTCTGTTCCCTATTTGGGGAATGAGGGTTACAGTTGAAGTCAGAATTATTAAGCCCCCTTTAAATTTTTTTTCTTTTTTAAATGTTTCCCAAATGATATTTAACAGAGCAAGGAAATTTTCACAGTATGTCTGATAATATTTTTTCTTCTGGAAAAAATAGTATCGTTTTATTTTGGCTAGAATAAAAGCAGTTTTAGATTTTTTAAAAGCCATTTTAAGGACAAAATTATTAGCCCCTTCAAGCTATATTTTTTCCTGATAGTCTACAGAACAAACCATTGTTATACCATGACTTATCTAATTACCCTAACCTGCCTAGTTAACCTAATTAACCCTTTAAATGTCACTTTAAGCTGTGGAGACAAGTCTTAAAAAATATCTAGTCAAATATTATTTACTATTATCACGGCAAAGATAAAACAAATCAGTTATTAGATATGAGTTATTAAATCTATGTTTAGTAATCTGCTCTCCATTGAAAACTTGGAGAGAAAAAATATTGGGGGAAAAAATAAACAGGGATCTACTAATTCAGGGGGGCTAATAATTCTGACTTCAACTGTACATTCTTAACCGAGACATTCCTTTCATGGGAACTCTATTGTGTGTCTAGATAAAAGACACTTTGGTCATCTAGCGATTTCCCAAAGCGTCTTTATCTAGACACACGCCTCTGTTCCCTATTCGGGGAATGAGGGTTATGTTCGTAACCGAGACACACTTTTATACATAATCATAAGTTTCATAAATCATACAGAATATACCCAATAACATGTCATTCAGTGTAACATTCTTGTCGGCTTAGTCCCTTTATTAATCCGGCGTCGCCACAGCGGAATGAACCACCAACTTATCCAGCAATTTTTTATGCAGCATCCAGCCGTAACCCATCTCTGGGAAACATCTACACACACATTCACCACGGACAATTTAGCCTACCCAATGTGGGGGAAACCGGAGCACCCAGAGGAAACCCACGCGAAGGCAGGGAGAACATGCAAACTCCACACAGAAACGCCAACTGAGCCGAGGTTCGAACCAGCAACCTTCTTGCTGTGAGGCGACAGCATTAACTACTGCGCCACTGCCTCGCCCTTCAATGTAACAACAGTTTATAAAACTAAAAAGTTGTATGATTTAGAATAAGTTTCAGAACATTTAGAAAAAAAAAAGAGTCATATTAAAGACTTTACACTGCATCACTCAATACTAATTACTTACCATTTAAAATACTTTATGCTTTACCACAATCTATCAAACTACTAGGTTTTACCCATTTGTCCGCAAGAGACTTTTAATCAGTTCAAATATGATCTAATTTAGCAAGAGTTTTTATTCTTTTATATATATTTTTATATATTCACGGGTCAGAATAAGTATATATATATATATATATATATATATATATATATATATATATATATATATATATATATATCTATAGTGTTACACTGAATGACCATGAAACATTATTTCAGCCATATTTTAACATTTTATTTGAAACCTGAAATCATTTTCACTTGTATTTCATATGCTTTGTATATAAAACTAATTATTGTACATTTAGTTATTTGCAGACACCAAAATACAACGTCTCCTCTTTGTCCTATTGTGCATTGGAATTTAAAGTACACATTAAGGGCATTAAAATCAATTTTGATCACAAATTATTCCTAAAACCAACCTACATTAGGTTTCAGAGATGTTATTGTGGATTGCAAAATGTGAAATATGAATGTATTTGTTCAGGGGGGGGGAAACTATATTAACTATATTAACTCATTAACTCAAGCATTTCAGAACATGTTCCTAAAAGGTAGTTATGAAGAAATCAGGTTATAGTTTTCAGTTAAATAGTACTACTTCTGTATTCAATTTGTATGTATTTGTAAGTTTATGCTTGCTTTCTCAGATTTTTGTTTTGTTAATTTAATACTTTTGCAAGCCTAAAGCTATTTATCGGTTAATGTGTGTCTTTTGGTGTGTGCATGTCTTCAGTTGCTACTGTATTTGTTTGAACTTTTGTGCAATAGTAAATGATATTTCTATCATTTATGACATTCTGTGGTTTCGTTCAGATTTCCTGCAAGCACAGAGACATTGCATTAGTGCCTTCATTAACATCAACATCCTTTGTGTGAGACGTCATGCTGGTTGATTTTACATATTTGTCTTTTAAAGAAGACAAAAAAATATATATTTTTGTGTACATGTTAAAAATGAGTCCACCACATAAATAAATCTGTTTAATTTGAAATCTGTCATAGAATTATTATTCACTTTTATTCTCGTTAAAGTTGTAAAAAAATTATTTTATTTATTATATACACTCACCGGCCACTTTATTAGGTATACCTTATTACCTCAAATTTCTAATCATCCAATCACATGGCAGCAACTTGATGCATTTCGGCATGTAAACATAGTCAAGACGATCTGCTGCAGTTCAAACTGAGCATCAGAATGTGGGGGAAAAGGTGATTTAGGTGACTTTGAACATGGCATGGTTGTTGGTGCCAATCGGGCAGGTCTAATTATTTCAGAAACTGCTGATCTACTGGGATTTTCATGCACAACCATCTCTAGGGTTCACAGAAAGTGATCTGAAAAAAAGAAAATATCTCTCTTTTGGCCTCGTTGATGCCAGAGGTCAAAAGGAAAGTGACCAGACTGGTTCGAGCTGATAGAAAAGAAACAGTAACTCAAATAACCACTTGTTACAACCGAGGTATGTGGAAAATCATCTCTAAACGCACAACACTTTTAACCTTGAAGTAGATGGGCTACAGCAACAGAAGACCACACCTGGTGCCACTCCTGTCGGCTAAGAACAGGAAACTGAGGCTACAATTGGCACAGGCTCACCAAAATTGGACAATAGAAGATTGGAAAACTGTTGTTTGACTCTTGATTTCTGCTGCCGAGTTTGGGTTTGTCAAAATTTGACATCAACAACAAGAAAGCATGGATCCATTCTGCCTTGTTTCAATGGTTCAGGCTAGTGATGGTGGTGTAATGGTGTGGGTGATGTTTCCTTGGCACACTTTGGGTCCATTAGTATGACTATGAGTTCACTGTACTCAAATGACCTCCACAGTCACCAGATCTCAATCCAATAGAGCACCTCTGGTATGTGGTGGAACTGGAGATACCCATCATGGATGTGCAGCCAACAAATCTGCAGCAGTGTGATGCTATCATCTCAATATGGACCAAAATCTCGGGAATATTTCCAGTACCTTGTTCAATCTATGCCATGGAGGATTTAGGCAGTTCTGAAGGCAAAAGGGGGTCCAACCCAGTACTAATAAGATGTACCTAATAAAGTAATTGTAAATATAACCAGTATTTATAGACAGACAAACAGACAGACAGAGAGACAGACAGACAGAGATAGATAGATGGATGGATGGATGGATGGATGGATGGATGGATGGATGGATGGATGGATGGATGGATGGATGGATAGATAGATAGATAGATAGATAGATAGATAGATAGATAGTTTATTTTTACATCTCTTTATTTAGCACATTATATATATTTTTAATCAGCTTTTTTTTCCTTTTTAAAATAATAATAAAATACCTTTAACAAAGCTTCCAATACTTTCCAAAATTAAAATACATTAAAATTAATTAATAAATTAAACAAACATAATTAGATGTGTTTCTTCAACAATACAATAAATGTTTTCAATTCCTTATATGTCATTAAAAACAGTTATTTGTCAGTTTAAAAAAGCAAACTCGGTTCTAATTCTTGCTGCTATTAAAGTTTGAAAAAAGTGAAAGAGTCTAAGAGTCAGCTTAAGCTGTTTTTTTTTTTTAATGCTCCAAAGATTAATCGCGATGAATCATATCTAAAATAAAAGTCATTCATTTGCAAATGAGTGTGCACTGTATATGACTATTTTGTAAATATAAAATATAGTGATTAGTACTGTCTCCTCACAGCACTGGTTCGAGTCCATGCTGGGCCAGTTGGCATTTCTGTGTGGAGTTTGCATGTTCTCCTCGTGTTCACGTGGGTTTCCTCTGGGTGCTCCGGTTTCCCCCACAGTCCAAACACATGCACTATAGGTGAACTGAATAAACTAAATTGGCCGTAGTGTATGAGTGAGTGTGTAAATGAGTGTGTATGTGCTTTTCCCAGTACTGGGTTGCACTTGGAAGGGCATCCGCTCAGTAAAACATATGCTGGGGTAAGTTGAGGGTTCATTCTGCTGCGGCAACCCCTGATGAATAAAGAGACTAAGCCAAAGTAAAATGAATGAATGAAAATAAAATATATGATACAAATTATATTTAAATTTCAACATCTATGTGACAAAAAAGTTTTGTTTTTATGTATGTTTTGTAAACACATATACATAATAAAAATATTAATTAAAACATTTATTAAGTCAAAACAAACTTATTTTGGATGCGATTAATCTTGATTAATCTTTGCCCAGGGCAACGCAATGGCGCAGTAGGTAGTGCTGTCGCCTCACAGCAAGAACGTTGCTGGTTCGAGCCTCGGCTAAATCAGTTGGCATTTCTGAGTGGAGTTTGCATGTTCTTCCCGTGTTCGCGTGGGTTTCCTCCGGGAGCTCCGGTTTCCCCCACAGTCCAAAGCCGTGTAAAACATATGCTGGATAAGTTGGTGGTTCACTTTGCTGTGGCAACCCCAGATTAATAAAGAGACTAAGCCAAAAAGAAAATGAATGAATAAATCTTTGCCCAGTGCTTCTTTTTGAAATATAACATTGAAATTGTTTGTTATTAGTGTCAGAGGATCAAATACAGAATACAAAACGGGTGTACATAATACTTTGAACATATGTTGTCCACTCACAAAGACAAACATTTGTGCAAATATTTTAAACGCCTGCTGTGACTTTTTTCAAAGCTTTACACATTATAAATGAATGAATGAATGATTATCAGAATCAACACAACTTGCGTTGTTGTGGCAGGAAATTCGTTAAGTTTCTTTAATTTCTAATGATAATCAAATGAAACGCGAGCAACATAACAAGGGAATAAAATAGAGGGTAAAATCTTGAGCACAAACGAGCTGTTACCTCCCTGCTGTGTCAATATTCATAAGGTTGGACTTCCTTGTGAGCTTTGAAAGTGAAATGACAGCGGAATTATGACGCATTGACATCCTTCCTGTGACGTCCGCAATGACACGTGTATTCAAGATGGCGGCGGCGATGGTGAGTACCGATGCTAAAGTCTCTTCTGTTTTTCCATTTCACCAAACGTTTCATTCCTCATGATAATAGATCATTTCATTTAACGCAAGTTGTTTCGTGGTGCTGCCAGCTAGTGTGCTATATGTTGTGATTTGTTATTTCCTCATAGTAGATGCCGACTTAAAAGCAACCGGTTAAGCCTGAACACTTAGCAGGCAGCTAATTACCGAGTGTTTGCTAAGGGATATTGCCCGGATCTAATAAGAAACTAAACAATATGAAGCTGACAGGTTTCTTAACTTTAATATAACTGGTTGTGTTTGATGGTAAGCAGCATCACATGACGGAAAGTGAATCTGCTCAGTTTGTAAGGCTAATGCGTTTTATTGCTTTAACGTTAGCATTCAGTGTCTCTCGCAATCAAACCAGTGCTGATTGTGATGCGATCAAATTGATAAAGTGATTAAATCAGAGTTTTTGCCTCGCTTTTCTTCGGGATTTATTCATACGCGTTGCTTTTTCCGGTTGGCAGTGTTTGTAATTGTGTTCACTGGCACTTGTGGACAGTTGAATTGATCTACGACTTGTAATGAAGTGTTTTTGTCAGTTCATAACAAATAATGGGTCGTTATTGTGAAATGACCCCGACTGGTTGATCAGGACCCCTACACGAAACTGCACGTTATCTCCCCTGTTACTCTGAAACTGATAAAGTAAATAAACCAATGTTCCAAATTTACTTAAAGGGATAGTTTAGTTAACCCAAAGGTACAAATAAAATTTGCCACCCTCAGCTGGTTCCGAACCTTTATGGGTTTCTTTAGTCAATTAAACACCAAATAAGATATTTTGAAGAAAGCTGAATACCAGCAACCAGACATCAATAGTAGGGAAAACAATTGCGGTTGAAGTTTTCTACAAAAGTAAGAAACACAGATTTGCAACAGGGCTGAGAAAAGGATGACAGTATTTTCAGTTTTGGGTTAATTGTCCCTTTAATTGATAGAGGTAAAGTTGATTTTATATTGGGATATTGAGACATTCTCCTTTATTATACAATGTCGGAATAGTATTCTTTGCAAATTCTAAATAGGGAAATCATATTAGCAACAAATGACTATCAAAGTACAACATTGTTTACATTCAATTCGATAGTGTTAATGTTGTTTAGATGCCATACTTGCATGCTGATTCCGATCGCATATTCAAAGTAACATGGTAAACAATATAGAGACTGCTAAATGAACGAATGTGCGGATATAAAACCAACTTTACCTCTATCTTTAATTGTTAGATTTTTCTATACAAGTTTAGTTTCCTAAATCATTTTTGGTAACACTTCACTTGACGTGGTGTTCATAAGACTGTCATTTATGTGAATGAGATTTCATACATGATTGTAACAACTGTCATTAAGTGCGATTCACTCGGTTATAACATTTTAAATGCTAAGTTGACATTGTTTGTTATGACAGCTTGACAAACAAATACAGCAGTACCTGCTTTTGTCTTTGTCATGACAACATGGCATATGACGACAACTCGTCATAAATCTGTCATAAACATGATTGTCCTGAATCCATTACAAATGTCATGAATTTTATAACAGCATCATCTATATATATATATATATATATATATATATATATATATATATATATATATGTATGTATATATATATATATATATATATATATATATATGTATATGTATATGTATATATATATGTATATATATATGTATATATGTATATATATATATATATATATACATATATATACATATATACATGCACATACATATATACACATGTGTGTTTTACCTTAACTACAGTGCTACAAGCTGAATTTATCATTAAATATTAATGATGATACTGTTCAAAATTATTTGAACATAATGACACTATTAATTAGAGCTTTTGATGACATTCAGTTTGTTTCACTGAAAACAACATCAGAATAATATTCATGATACTAATAAATGGCCTCATGACCATCATGTTTATGACAGATTTATTACAAGTCATGTTTTCTTGACAATTCTAAGTTGTCATAACAAAGATGAAGACTGGTTGAGATGAATTTGTTTTGTCAAGTTGTCATAACAAACAATGGCATCTGTGCATTTTTCCCCTTGTGAAATTGTCAAAAAGCTTGCATACAATCTCATTCAGTCATGACATCAATCATGTCATTATTATAAAGCGTTCATGACAGTATTATGAACACCCCTTCAAGTAAATTGTTAACTCTTTTTATATTCCTATTTGTCGAGGCTATTCCTCCAGTGAAATGACAGAATACCCTTTGGTGACATATGTAGTCACCTCAAAGCGATAGTTCACCCAGAAAGTGAGGATTTTCTGTTAGTTTACTCTTCCTCACGTCATCCAAGATTTATGTGAATCTAGCTGTCAAGTTTTTAACTCATTTTCACAGAATCACAGAATGAAGAAGTTGGGGTGGGAGAAAAAAAGATAAATGGTTCCATTGCAATTCTGTCTGTAGCGGTTCTGAATCGATTCTGTTTTCAAATTAGATTGGGATTGTGCTGGCCTGTTCTGGCTCAAACTAGAACAGCAAAATAATGGTACTGAAAGGTGCTTGGATGAAATGAAGAATTTTTTAAGATGTCAATTTGTGATCTGCAATGTTTACATCCCCCCGCATGGCTTACATGGAACCTCAAAATATGATATAAAAAAAAAAAGGACATTGTGAAAACCCCCTAAAAATGAACTGCACCGAGTCCAATCAATGGAAAATCCTCCTTTGTCAGCAGCAAATATTTCCATCAATGTCAGCTACGTGCATAATAATCTGCTAAAACTGCTATGAGGCGCTACTGTTGAATCAATTAGACACACTATTAGTGAAATAGATTTGTTCCTGTTATCTTCAAAACAGAAAGTTGCATTGTAGATGACATAATTGGGCTTTGGTTTGGAATGTTAAAGTGACATGTGAGCGTAGGCCTGCAGGGGGAATGGGAACAAGAGAGTTGCAGATATGTTTTAACCTCCTCACATATTCATTTGTGTGTATTAGCATCTGTTGATTTGACAGGAATCTTTCTGTGTTTGTGTTCTCTGCGTTTACAGGAGATGTGGGCACTGTTATTGGTGTCCACGCTGCCTTGCGTAGCACCCTTTTATGTACCAGGGGTTGCGCCCATGAATTTCCACCAGAACAGCCCCGTTGAAATAAAGGTGAGGCCTCAGAGTCTTTGTTTTTCAAATTTGTTTTGCAAAAGAGGGATTTGCCAATTTCACTCTGAGACTTAATTGCACCCAGACACATTATTGGTTTATTGTTTTGTGCAACTTTTAGAATTTGGTCCTATGTGGTCCTACTTATGTATTGACCACTTGTTATTAGACACAGACACATCTTGCTTTGACAGACTTTAATACAATTAGACTATTTACTTCTATTTATTGTAGAAAACAATATAGTTCATTGAAATAACCTATTTTATCCATTTATGTAATGATCATTAATGACGCAACGTAAATGTACAATATGTGCAAGAATGGTGATGATCTATTTATACTCATTAAAGTGATCAATTTATTTTGAGAAATATATATAAAAGCATAGTATATTTAAAATGTCAGTAGAAAGCTTGCAGTTTACAGGTTCATTACTTTATTCGCTTGTGTTTAAAGTTTTTACAACTGTATCTAAATGTTTTTTGTGTGAAACAAGAATCTGATTTTCCAAAGACTTTCAATTTTGGCATCTGTGGAATAAACCCCGTTTTAAAATTTTTTGAATGATTCAATCAAAATGGTTGATTTATTTTTTATTACGTGCAGTGCAGTGATGTAGCCATAAATGAAAAAATTTCCTTGCAATTAAAAAAAAAATAATAATGTTTGCACAACAAAGTTTTCAAAACAATTGATTTTTGGGTTTGTTTAACAATGTGACTTATCGTTTAGCCCTAGTATGATGCGTCTCTGCTTTTGGTTGTTATATAAACTAAACCCACACTTTGTTGATCAACATTAGCAAGCACTTGAGCAAGGTTTAGTTGTACAATTATAATCTGAGGAATAATTTCGATTTCATGGATATCAAGATTAGTATGAATTCATCAATTTCAAAACACTAGTAGTTTAGAAAATCACATGACACTTATATTTTAAAATGTTATTTATTGCTGCTCGGTAACTAAATAATACAGCACAAAATAATAATAAAAAACAAATAATAGCCCATTTCCCTTTGAACTTAAAAAAATAAGTGAAAAATGTTTTTGACATTTAAACAAAGGTTATAATTTTACACTTAAAATAAATGACAGAACAATAAGTAGATGAGTGAAGTAATAAATAAATAAAATATAAATACATATTAGCTAAGTATTTCACTTTTAAAGAGAACGAATGTAGGCAAAGTCTGCTGAACCTCTATCTGAAAGGCACTTTTTAATAATATAAAAAACTTGTTTGATATTTTTCATTTTGTATTTTTATCTTTGGATTAGAAACGTGTATACAAACTATGAAGCTGACCGGTCAGTTCTTGTCATGTGACTTTCGCTGCACTCGTTGCACTTTTAGCTTGTAGGTGCGCCTGGAAAGCTGCTGCATGCACTCCGCTGCCAATATGCCTGCGCAAGCCAGGTGCCTTCATTGGAAATGTCAAACTTGTGCATACAAATGACAGAATATGTGAACATCCCTAAGTTAATAGTCTGAACCATAGAATCAGTCTTTAGTCCAGTGTGCGTGAGTATTTGCCTCGGAATTTTAAACTAGCGCACAATTGGCATAACTTTTAAATTGCAATAGTTTTGTTCCGGCAGAAACGCGGTGTTGAGAAGCCTTTACGATTAACTCTGACGAATTAAAGCGCAGTTAATTGTGAAACCAGTTAATCATTGCATCCCTACACTTGAATGACTGCATAGTTTTTAAAGACTCTCATTTTTGGGTTTTTACATGGACAACATTTTCAAAAACTTCCATTTTGTTACCTGTTTTCAGTCACAAAACACTGGTTGTACACACAAAGACAAATTATTTTCCAGTTTTTGGCTGAAAACTAAATCTGGGAAATGGCCTCTTAAAATTGTATTTATAAACATTTTATTGAATCATCAACCATAAATAGATTCATTCATCAACAAAATTATGCAGTGTTGCCCTTTGACAAAGCGACACATAAATCATACACATTTGCATTTTAGTAAGCTGTCAGAATGCAGTTTATTGTGTTTATATGCGAGTTATAATTATGTGGAATTCTAGCTTTGTTGATTAGTTTTTGCTTTACACCGACAAAGGAAACCAGGTTAATGTGTTAACATGACTACGCACATAGTCAGAGCATTAACCATAAAACTTTTAAGAATGCACATGTGAATGCAGTTAATTATTATATTCCACAAGAACCAAAATTATCAAACAGGTTTCTAAATCTATGCTGTGGTATTTATAGTGTTTACCTGTATTTAATTGCCAGGCTGTGAAATTGACCAGTTCCAGAACCCAGCTGCCCTACGAGTACTATTCACTTCCCTTCTGTAAGCCTGAAAATATTGTCTACAAGGCAGAAAACCTTGGTAAGTTGATTCACTGCAGGCATATATTTGAAATATTGTGAAGTATGTACACAAATAAAGTGAATATTTGTTGTAGTAGTGGACATTTTAATAATGGTGCTGATATGTTTCCAGGTGAGGTGTTGCGAGGAGATCGTATCGTAAACACACTATACACTGTTTTTATGAATCTGGACAAGAAGTGTGAGGTGTTGTGTAAAAAACCTGAAAGTCCCATCAAACTCTCAGTGGAGGAGAGTAAACTGCTAGCAGAGCGCATCCAGGAAGAGTACTATATCCACCTGTGAGTTCTTCCTCTGCCCCTTCATTAAACAGATAAATACATCCAGTATAGTGCATTCGTTCATACACTTTTGATCTGCTTGTGTCAGGAATGAGGGCCTAAGCAAAGTGCTGCATTGTTATTATTTTATTTTTTTACACACTAGAAATATTAAGTTTTTAGACATTTCACAATCTTTTTAATAGACTTTTTTTTTCCTTATGTCACACAGAACTTTTCTATTCCAATGTGCTAATTTTACATTGTTTTTCAGTGTAAATCGCTTGACAGATGTGCATGAACATTACAATCATGTCTTTTGAAGCACTGCACATGAGCACCATGTTTTTAGGTGCCATTTAAATTTTCACTCATCACTGTTCGTTCCAAAGCACTGGGCCAATCAGAAGAATGTGAAGGCAGTGCAAACATTGCGAGTTTCTATTTATGTGTGCGTTCTCATTGAATGGCCCCTAAATGTATTATGCAAAGTTTTTTTGATCAAATAGAAATACAAACATTTATCAAAATAATTTTAGCTACTTACTCATTTACTGCTGTCTTTTTTGTTATTGTTATAAAAGACTTAATAAGTTAAATACTACTTTGGTTTCACAACCCCCCCCCAAAAAAAAAAAAAAAAAATATATATATATATATATATATATATATATATATATATATATATATATATATATATATATATATATATATATATATATATATATATATATATATATATATATATTTTTTTTTTTTTTTTTTTTTTTTTTTTGGGTTGTGAAACCAAAGTAGTGTGTGTGTGTGTGTGTGTGTGTGTGTAAAAGACTATTATGGAAAAGCATTTTTTTGGATTCAATGCAAACAGGTGTTTAGCATTCTACTACATCTTAAAACTCCAAATGTGTCAGAACGCTCTATTTTAGCATTTGCTTTGTTGCTGCAGACTGTTTGGGAAAGTGATTGTGCCTTTAGCGTTAATCTTACAAATCTTTGCCACCCTTTAGAACCTCCCCTGGTTTAGCATCGTCCATTTGTAATGCATTTCTAATGTAAATGACCAAACAAAAATAGCAAAAGCGGCCAACCACAAACAAACTTATATTCATGCATCAAAGCAAGCATCTATAATTACTAGGGATGCAAAGAATATAGATTTTGGTTGTACATGATAACCACAGTTATCATGATTATTATGTATCCAATAATTTCAAAACGCTACTAATTTAGAAATCACATGAAAACTTTGTATATTTTAAAGTGTTATTTACCACTGACTAAATAATACATTACACAATTATCACAAACAAGAGTCTATTTCTCTTTGGACTTAAAAAATGTTGTCATTTTAACATAAGTAATAATTTACAGTGAACATAAATGACAGAACAATTAATAATTGAATGAAATTATGAATAAATAAAAAAACTGTATTTGTCTTATGTAAATCTAAGCTACATATTAGCTGATTATTTCCCTTTTAAAGAGAACAAATGTAGTCAAAGGCTGCAGAACCTCTAATTGAAAAGCACTTTCAGGGTTCATACGGTCATGGAAAATGTGGAATGTTGACATGGCATTTTCCAGGCTTGGAAGATTTTTGGAAAAACAGGAAAACCTACAAAGTTTTGAAAAAGTCATAGAAAACAGATATCTCTATATACTAATATAGGTTAGTTGTCTTTAATACTTTTCATCATACACTCTTCCATTATTAACAAGTAAGCATTATTTAAATAAATTTTACATAGATATAAATAAAAAAAATGGGGGTCGCAGTGGCACAGTGGGTAGCACAATCGCTTTACAGCAAGAAGGTCGCTGGTTCGAGCCTCGGCTGGGTCAGTTGGCATTTCTATGTGAAGTTTGCAACTTTGCATGTTCTCCCCGTATTGGCTTGGGTTTCCTCCGGGTGCTCCGGTTTCGCCCACAGTCCAAAGACATGCGGTACAGGTGAACTGGGTAGGCTAAAATTGTCTGTAGTGTATCTGTGTTTTGCTCCAGGCAGAAACGCAGTGTTGAGAAGCCTTTACGATTAATTAACTGTGACAAATTAAAGCGTAGTTAATAGTGAAATCGGTTTATCGTTGCATCCCTAATAAATACTAATCTTCGCTTCATATCTGTGTAGTTTTGATTTGGTAGTTTGTGTCATGCTTTCATTAACAAGCCATACATATGCACAGCATTGCAGATAATCTCCCTGTGGCCACACGCCTGGAGCTGTACCCAAACAAAGAGGAGGCAATAGATGAAGAACAGAAGAAGGACACGTTGAAGGATGTTCAGTTTGAGCATGGCTACCGGCTCGGCTTTACTGAAAACAACAAGGTTAGCATCGATTTATGCCATCCTAGAGATGTAGACATTGAACAGCTAGCTTTCTGAAACCTCTCAACCACTTATAGTCTATTATTTGTTTAGGAGTATTGATTCAGTAACCTAAAACTGTTTCTTTTAATCTAGTATGGAAATATGTGGCTTAAAATTCAATACGTAATGTAGTGTTTGATATTATTGTTTGTATTGCGTGATTGGTTGACAAGTGCTAATTGTGTGATCTCTGCAGTTCTATTTGCACAACCATCTGTCATTCATCCTGTACTTCCACAAAGAAAAGTTGGAGGACGCAGAGGAACACAATTACAGAGTTGTACGTTTCGAGGTTATGCCGAAGAGCGTTAAGCTAGAAGGTAAGCCTCTAGAAATGCTGTGAAATTTCAAATGAAAATTGCACAAAAGCAAAAAATTTCCATCGGTAGAGACATCAGAAAACACAAATTCTGTTATCTGTTCAGTTGTAAGGGCACCTAAGGTGAAAAATCTACTTTTAAAGCTGTTTGGACAGACATATGTGCTGGTATAGTGTAAAGACCATCATACTAAGGTGATATAAACACACCCAATCCTTTATTTATTTATTTATTTATTTTTATTTTTTTATTTAAATATAACAACATAATAAAAATGGTGGACCAATTGGAATGGTTTTCAGACCGACCGCAACTTGACTAGGAGTGCGGTTCCCACGCCCACCAATATTGATTGACAGCTGCGTATTAACATGTCTCCTTAGTAACGGATATAATCATATCAATAAGACCGGACGTGCGCAAAGCAACCAGGAATATAAGGTCTGTTCAGTTTGCTAGAATCATCATCAAATGTGATCTAGCGTGAGTTTTAGAAGTTTAAACTGTTTTAAAACAGAGCATGTGTGTAATGAATTACAGCAATTTACCTCAACTTTACTTCATCAGCACTGCCGCGTGTCAGAACAATTATAAAGGAAGACGCTTCAATCCCGGTTTGTGGATGTTAAATCAGGTTTATTTTGTACACTAGCATAACAGATATCCATACAGCAGTGGATATTAACCTGTATCCTGTCACATATGTGTGCAAAAAGTGTGCAAAGCTAAACGCGCACGCTGTCTGTGTGTTTGTCTGCGCTATGTGTGTGTCCTCACTGTGTGTGTACTTTGTAACGACATTGTATGTGACTCATCGTCGCAACTCCACAACAAATGCATCAAATACTCATTGGTTAAGTTCTTATTGTAGTATTTCCCACAAGCGTTACCTGAGATCTGCTTCCTGAGCCGGGGGAGGCGATTGAGGCATGCTGCTGATAGGCACGTGGGAACGGTGGGCGGGGAGGACTAGCCTTAAAGGTGCAGTCCAAAAAAACAGCAACAAGCTTTTACCAGCTATAAAACAGAAACTTCAGACAGCTATAATAAATATTAGGGCTGTGCAATTAATCGAAAATCCGATTTCGATTTTGGCTTTTAACGATTATGAAAAACCATTAATCGAGATAAACGATTATTCCATCACGTACCGCCCCCTTTCCAGTTGTACACGTGTGAAAACTCTTTGCCTCTGCAAAGCTCAATTCCACGTGAAAATGACTAAAAGCATGTGCTGTAATGTAACTTTTGCAGCACGGGATGCGCATCATTCATATTTTTAAAAGCGCAAAAGAGCACATGCTGTTGTGTGTGTGCGTGCGCCGTGCTTAGCCTCGGACAGGTAGAGTATGTGTGTTTGCGCGCGCCACGCTTAGCCTCGGACAGGAGAGCACACACAAACATCTAACGCAATCTTAATGTGAGCGCTTTAATGGTCAAATACATGCACATTTGTGTCAGAGCGCGGTGTTTAGTGATTATTCATATTAACCCTCATTTGTGTAATAAACAAACAAGTTGAGAATCAAAAGACACGAGAAAGAGAAACCATATCAGAGCCGCACTATTCTTAAAGTGACAGCGTGCGATATTCCTGCTGCTGCAGACTGTTTTTATTATTAATCAATAATAAAATCAAAAATGCAGTGAAGATGCTTAAAGCACAGTTTAAACATAACAGATTTAATAACTAATTTCTAATAACTGATTTATTTTATCTTTGCTATGATGACAGCACATTATATTTTACTAGATGTTTTTCAAGATATTCAGCTTACAGTGACATTCAAAGGCTTAATAAGGGTAAATAGATAAGTCATTGTATAACAGTAGTTTCTTCTGCAGACAATCAAACATATATATTGCTTAAAGGGGCTAATAATATCGAGCTATTAAAATAGGTTTCAAATTATTCAAACCTGCTTTTATTCTAGCTGAAACAAAACAAATAAGCCTTTCTCCAGAAGAAAAAAATATTATAGAAAATACTGTAAAAAAAATCCCTCTGTTAAACATCATTTGGGAAATATTTATATATAAAAATAAATTCACAGAAGGACGAATAATTTTGACTTCAACTGTTAATCGTTTTGAATAATCGTGATAACAATTATGACCAAAATAATCATGATTATGATTTTTCCCATAATCGAGCAGCCCTAATAAATATCCTGATGGATGTTTTGAGCTGAAACTATACAGACACTATCTTTTGACACAAAAGACTTCTTAAATCTGGAAAAAGGGGTAACCTAGGTGCCCTTTAAGTAATAGCTGCTCAGTCCTGAGTAAGCCACTTTCGTATTTTTTATGTATATCTTTCATAAATCTTTCATTTATTTTTCTGTATTTAATGTTTTTTTTTCTGTTTATGAATTGAGTTACGTTTTTTAATTGAATGAGTTTTCTTAAATAAATTGTTTTTAAATGCTCAAATCACTGTAAACACTTTTCTTCATACAAAATGTTTTTTAATTTGTCAAAAAATGTGTTTATATATTGTTTCTGCAATACACTATTCACCAGTTCATATTTTTTTCAACATAATAATGTTTATATGAAATTTAGTCTGGCCGTAATGAATGTTATCACGTGACAACTTTTCTGTTTCAGGAATAAGTTGTGTTTTTGTCATTTTCTTCAAATTATTATTTTAATATTATTATTTTAAGGTGAAATATGACAACATAATATTTTCTGTGTTTTTGATCATATAAATGCAGCCTGGAATAACATGATTCAATTCATTTAGTTAATTTTCTTTTAATACACTATATAATAAAATTGTTAGTTTTATTTTATTTTTTATTTAAAGTTTTTCACTTTTTAAAGAACAAACCCCCAAAACCCCTCCCATGCCAGCAATTAATAATAAAGAAACATATTTGAAATGCAGATACATATGCACATGCACATCCACAACTGTACAGATACTTAATCATATTCCTCCACGAGAAATCTATTCTTGCACATATCCACAAGTCCAGTCAAATATCTGCATATGTACATTACATGTAGAGCATATATACATATGAGAGTACAAATCAATACAATAAAGTGGTTAGTTAAACCCGGTGTAACTCAGAACTCTTGATTACATTGTTAATTGTAATCATAATTTAAAACACATGGTTCATTTATTTAATAATTTTAAGGCAATTGGTTTGCTGGTTTAAAACTAAAGGCAGGTAATTGTAATCTAATGTGTATTTAAATAGCGCATTTATTGTGTATGGCCATACACCCAAAGCGCTTCACAATCATGAGGGGGGGTTTCTCCACACCACCACCAGTGTGTAGCATCCACTTGGATGATGCCACGGCAGCCACAAGACAACGGCGCCAGTGCGCTCACCACACACCAGCTATTGGTGGAGTGGAGAGACAGTGATAGAGCCAATTCGGTGGAAGGGGATGATTGGGAGGCCATGATCGTATAAGCCGATAGAGGGACTTTGGCCAGGACACTGCGGTTACACTCCTGCTCTTTCACGAGAAGTGCCATGGGATTTTTAATGACCACAGAGTCAGGACCTCGGTTTAACGTCTCATCCGAAAGACGGCAACCACTGACAGTGTAGTTTCCCCTTCACTTTTACTGGGGCATTAGGGCTCACATAGACCACAGGTTGAGCGCCCCCTGCTGGCCTCACTAACACCACTTCCATCAGCAACCTTGTGTTCCCTAGTGGTCTCCCATCCAGGTACTAACCAGGCTCAGCCCTGCTTAGCTTCAGTGAGTAACCGGTCTTGGGCTGCACGGTGATATGGCTGTGTTTTACATACATTGCATTTTACAGTGCACTTAATTTATATCTATTATGTTTAATATGTTCAGGGTTTATACAGTCATGGAAAACCTGGAAAAGTCATAGAATTTTGGCATGGCATTTTCCAGGCCTGGAAACGTTTTGGAAAAACAGAAAAACCCTCAAAGTCATGAAAATTCATTTAACAAATATCTGTATACTAGAATTAGGGCTGCACGATATTGAGAAAATCTGACATTACGGTATTTTGTATTTCTGTGATATATATTGATATATATTGATTGAGTGGATTTTGTAGAGGAGTGCATCTCAAATAAATATAACAAATAAATTACAAGCATAGATAAATACAATATAGTAAAGATAGAATTCAAGTTTTCAGGTATTCACTATTCAGGTGCAGATATTGAATAATCAACACTGCATAATCTTCATTGTATATTATTTAATCTTTATTAAAGTTACAGTAAATTTCTTGTGGCCTTATGTTTTAACATGTGAAATATTGAAATTTTCACACTCAAAGGCCTTAAAGGAACAGTCTATTCAACGATTAAAATGTACTCCCTATTTACTCACACTTGACTTGTTTCAATACTATAGGAGTTGTTAAATTATATATTTTTTGTATTCATTAAAAAAAAAAACTCATAAATGTTTGAAACAAGGGTGTATTAAACATCTTTGTAATTTTTGACTAAACTATCTATTTAAAATGCATGCAGATTATACATTTTTACTCTATTATGATTAAACTATGATGCCAACATTGCATATCCTGCGATGTGACTATTGCCGATGCACATATTGCGATATCATTGCTGAAACGATATATTGTGCAACCTGAACTTCAACATAGTTTAAATGTCTTTACTTCTTTTCTGTTCTTGCCCAAAAACCTGCTCTCACATTTGTTAGTGCTGTTTAAGCATTATCAAAATCTAAATAAAAAGTTCAAACTAAATAGATTGTTGTGTGTGAAATGAAATGCTGTAATGAATTTGAACGTCATTGTTTTTCTTATTATTTACCATGTATATGTAGGCATTACATGAAACATTATGTCTTGAAAATGTACTTGAAAGTTCTGTAAAAGTCTTGGAATTTTAGTAGTTAAAACGTGTATGAACCCTGTATATTGTACATTGTAAACCTTATAACGCTGTACATTTTTTTATTTGTACTTACTTTCACCTTATTGCTTCTGTCATGTGTTGTAGATATAAAAGCAGACGACCGAGGCACATGCACATTACCTGAAACAGTTGCCCCTGTTCCTCAGGAGATCGACCCGTCTAAAGAAAACAACATTCTCTTCACATACTCTGTGCACTGGCAGGTGAGGCACAACTCCTTCATCAAAACATCCACTTGTGCTTTATTTTTCTGCTTGGTTTCATTAAAGCGCCTCTCTTCTTTGCAGGAGAGCGAAGTGAAATGGGCGTCTCGTTGGGACACGTACCTCACCATGAGCGACGTGCAGATCCATTGGTTCTCCATCATCAACTCTGTAGTCGTGGTGTTTTTCCTGTCAGGTATTTTCATTTAGTATTTTCTGGAAAAAAATATATAATTATCAAGTTTTAACAAGTTTGTCAATGCTGGAAAATTCCCATTAATCTGAAATATAAATATAAAATATAAGCTGTTAATGTTATCTATACTTTAAGACTGCAAATCAGTGTTTTGGATGAGAATTTGGCAAAACTTGGAGTTCAGCTTATATTGTAGGGCCACTAATGTCAACAAATGTTAATCTGTAAAATTGATTACTTTTATTTGTAAAATTAACTTTTTTTTTCCAAGAAACTAACTTCTTTTTTAGGACAAAAGTTACCTGGGCAAAAATATAAGTATCTACTGCTTTAAATATAGCAGTCAACACTATTTTAACAAGAAAGCAAATGTTTGACTTTTTATTTGATGCATTATTCTGAATGATAGTTTTGCAGTTTAAAACATTGGTTCTGCATTTTTCTGACATTAGTTTTATGTGTTATTTGATGCCAAATATACACTTTGGTACAAATATACTATATTATACTCCTATTTGGAGAGTAATTGTTTCTCGGGTAGGGATCTTTTGCCATTTTAAAATTACAGGTGGTAGTAGTGGGTGATTTTTATGGCTTGTTTACACTGAGTGGTATGCTACGTGGTGGTACGGGTCGTCTTTATTAGTGTACCAATGACACCCTTTGGTGGGCTTGGTGTATGACAGAAAGTTGCAGCCGACGTCATTTTCGCTCAAGGAAATGTCAGTAAGTAAAGTAATGTAAAGTAAAGCTGTACGGGTCATACACAAGTCATATGACAAGCACTTCTCACCAAAAAGATGCTTATACACATAAATACTTGTGTAAATGTACATTAATAACCCACTCTAACATCCACAATTATATAAAATTAATAAATAAATGCAACATATATGAACACATACAGACCATTACAGTATCTGATGTTACCAATTACAAAAAAACTACACACAGCATACATTTAGTCCTTATTTGGGTTTTAAAACGACGTGCAACATATTGCCTGCAGTCACTGTTTTTTGTCTCATCTGTGTCTTTATTCTTCACCAGCACATGTAAACTCTTGTTAGACAGTAATTCCGTCACTCAGAGTTTATAATAGTCCAAAAGGCGATGATAATAGTTAAACATGGCTTTTTGTTCATGTTTTAAGTTGCTGAAACAATCATTTGCTCATTGGTTTTTTTCATGCTTCAGTCCCATGTTTGTTCGTTTCTAAAAGGATTGAATGTCAAAAGCACTTCAATAATCATGCGCACATTATTTTCATCAGCTCAAGAAGTTTGTTATTTTAAATATAGACGTGCGGCAAGTCCCTTTGGAGAAAGCGAAACCGATCGCGATTTAGATAGTCTTGTAAACAACTACGGGACACGGTAGATTCTGCTCTTAATCTTGGCTTTGTGGCTGCTCATCAGGATAACAAGGTTTGTTTAAGCTCGGGTCGACCATGGCTTGTTATTATATGTAAATATTATTACAGTATAATGTCTTGGCTGTGTATTAAAAAATGGTTTTTCCTTTATTTTCATTCTCCTGTCTTGTGCCTGAGCTAGTTATGCATCTCTGTAAATCAAAAGCGCTTATTTCTGCCTCTTGCTCCGCCTTTTTATACCGTTTTGTTGTGCAAGGTACCCTTTGGAAAGGGTACCCAAAAAGTGGTACAAAACTGTTCGCTTTTTGGTACCTTTTGACGTTGGAAACAACCATAAAAGCGTACCAAACCGTACCGTAGTACTCAGTGGAAACGGGCCATTATAGCCAACAGAGTCATTGAGTATTTTTTTCTTACCACAACTGATGTAAAAATAGGCTGCTGTCATGACAGTTGTGTCAAAGTAGATGCTGATGCGTTTAACTCTAGCACGAATTCGATCAGGGTTACAGCTAAAAATCCAAAGCAAGTTGGACCCCATGGGCCATATTTAAGTATGTTATGATCATTTGAGACATAGTTGTGGGTTCATAAGATTACAAACATACGTCAGACATCTACCGCAAATTTATCTTCATCTGAAACGATGTGTTTAATCCCTAAGGAGCTGTTGAGATTTTTATTTTTTGTTACAGAAGTCCTCATGAGAAACAATTGCCTTAAATTCCTTTTAAGGTTTATGTACACAAAATTAAAATTGTAAACTTATTATTTAGATGCCAGACACGGAAACACAGTTTATATTTAATTCTATTTTGGGGTTATCGGCAGCCTAATTAACATAAGTTCTCAATGCAGTCTCAACAATAACGTTTTGACAAGTGATGATTGAGACATAGTCAGTTGTGACTAGTTACACAGAAAATGCAGAATATACTCGAGTGACTGGTCTAAGCAGTTTTATTTTGTGATGGTGTTTGGCATCTAAGCATGTGATTGTGAACAGGCATTCTGAGTATGATCATCATCAGGACCCTGAGGAAGGACATTGCCAACTACAACAGAGAAGATGACATTGTAAGATGCTCCATACTGATTGGTTGTTCACCTTCTGGTCCTGATCTCTTTTTGTGATGTTATCTCACTGCTTTCTCTATCTGGCTAACAGGAGGACACAATGGAGGAGTCTGGATGGAAGAACGTTCATGGCGATGTGTTCCGCCCACCTCAGTATCCCATGATACTTAGCTCCCTGTTGGGCTCTGGCATCCAGATGTTCTCCATGGTTCTCATTGTTATCTGTGAGTCTTATTTTTATGTATTTGTTTATTTTATTTTTATATTAAAAAGTTTTTATTAAAACGCAAAACTTATTTGGTGTGGCCATTTATTTGAATACATTTATATTTTACATTTTTCAAACCTTTTAACAACTTTTGAATTTTTTTTTAAAAGGATACTCTTAAGGCCCGTGCACACCGAGACATTTTTTGCTCAGGTTTTCCATTAACGTTTAACGCCTCGTGACTAAATAAAGGGCGTCAATGTAATTGTTCATACCAACGCGCAAAACACCACGCACAAAAGCATCATTTAAAAAAAAAAAAACGCCTAATGCTCGTTTTTTTTTGTTTTGACGTACCCTGTCAAAACCTTCTGCACCTATTCAGATGGCCACTTTTTTTCATGTGCACGGAGCTGCTGAAGTTACAGTATACAGCACTCAAGCGCAAAACTGTCAGTGAGAGGGCACATTGAAGATGTGCAGAGGCGATATGAACGGGAAGCTGCTTATTGCTCTGGTGAACAACAATCATTTCTTAATTGCCAGAGCTGGAGCTGCTTGAACAATCCATGCTTGTTCGAGTCACCAGCAACTTTAACAAGAAGCGTGTGAACTTCCTTTCCTCTTCTTCTGTGTTGTAAGCGGGTGTCAGAAGCTTAAAGTTGTGTAGCGCCATCCAACGTCAATGAGTGATTTTCTTCTGCTTAACGCCAGCAAAAATCGCTTGGGTTTGAATATGGAAAAGCGCCTCGTAAAACGCTGACGATAAACACAAATGAAAAGCGTCCTGATGTGTACGAGCCTTTAGTGTCTTTATGTAAACAACAAAATTGTGATTAAGTGAAAACTGTGTCACAGATGTCCATTAAGCCCAATTTATACTTCAGGGTGTTTGGCAGACCCAACTGATTTAAGACCTAAAAAGACAATTGTTGGTTTTTAGCAGTGCTAAACTGTGTTCCTTAAATAGAGTATTTTAATAATTCAAAAAAAAAAATGAAGCCTTTATGAATGAGTAATTGAATTAAACAATTTGTTCTAAAATGGATTGAATCATGAATATCACATTATTTCTCTCAGCAGTGCAAATGTTGCGATCTAGCTTTGTTTGGGATTATTTTCACTGGTAAGATATACAAATAGACAAAATTGTGTCTGAAATATAATCAGGGTATCTGGGTATTATATGTTTTTTTAAATGGGTCATAGTTTTTCCTATATCCATGAAAAGCCACCCAATTGGGCCAACACTCATCCAGTCACCAAAAAACAATAAATCTTTTAGCAACTTTTATTTAATAATTTTGTTTAATTATCTTCTTTACAATAATATTTGCTCTCCATGTATTTTTATGTACCTGGTGTTACCTTACTACTTGTGTGTACTCGTGTTACCACCCTAACTGTTGGATAAAATCGATATCACTTGTAATCAAACTTGTGAAGATGGCAAGAAAAGGCCAGTCTTCTGGATGTTCAAGATTTTCTATGTACTTTTTTCAAACTTGAGTGATTATAATCGATGTCATCAAAACAATTACAAATTTCACACACGTCTACCAGTCGTTTATTATCGACTGCTTGAATGTTTATTTTTTTGGATTTTTATTGTTTTTAACTCCTTGATATGCTGAAACTGTGTTCGTTTTGCAGTTGTGGCGATGCTGGGAATGTTGTCACCATCCAGCCGAGGAGCTCTGATGACGACAGCCTGCTTCCTCTTCATGTTCATGGGGTAAACAATCAAACCATGATGTGCATGTAATAGATTTAGGATTTTCAAGCATTTCATTTCTACACACTCAATCCAATCATATGGTCCTACAGTTTGTTTGGAGGATATTTTGCCGGAAGACTCTACCGCACTCTTAAAGGCCACAGATGGAAGAAAGGGGCTTTCTGCGTGAGTATTCTTCCATTCAATGTATTGCATTTAGGCTGAAAGAATAATGATTTGAAAGTGCTAAGACATTGTGGATGTTTGTCCTTCTAGACAGCAACTCTTTACCCAGCTGTCGTCTTTGGCATCTGTTTCGTTTTGAACTGTTTCATCTGGGGAGAGCATTCTTCTGGCGCAGTAAGTGTTCATTCACATGTTTATGTTGTTTTTTAAGCAATCTTTAGGCTGCATTTGTTATAGTTTTATTTAATTGCTTCCTTGTCTACTCCAATATCACATTTGTAAACTCATCGGCTGAAATGAAGCTCAAATTCACAAAATCGCTTGTTTTGTTTGCAAAATGGTCCAACATTCAAAAACATTACAACCATGATTATATTGTAATCAAACACCACAAACTTGCGGTGAAATAAATTTTTTTTCTATTAGTCTTTACACAATGGACAACAAAATCAATAAGAAATCATTTTTAAATTCAAATGCTTAGGAGGAAAAATCACCACCCCTTCTATTGGTTTTTGTAAAACACAGACACTCCTACCAGTGCATAATTAACATGGAAATGTTAGTCACGTCCAAATTCATTAATGGAAAAATATTGCAAAATATTTGAGCAACATCACATGAGTAGAAGTGCGATATAGCTGTATATCGGAACTAATGGGAGGCATGCGTTAGTGTCCCACCAGTAACGATATACAGCCGTATCAAGTTGCTACGAGTGTGATATTGCATTTATACAACAGTTCAACGGCATAATCGTGTGTATAAAAAAGAAAATCAAACACTGAGTCTGAAAATCCTTTTGTATGAGGAACTGCTTCCACCATTCAATCACATTTGCAGCTGAACTCAGAACAGCAGAAATCGTTGCTACTTCACAAACATCACTTTAGAGCAAGTATTTGAATGATTCTCTAGCATAATGTCTAAAGTGATGACAAAGCAGGTGATTTTGCTTACATTAAGATTATAAGGCTGAACAACTTGAAATGTCATCAGTCTACAGACATTTCCCAGTATTTCTCTGTTGCAATCGGGATATCACAATAATTAACCCTATAAAAGCCAAAGCATAGCAAACACTATATCAGAAACACTACCAGTGATGGTAAAACACTACCAGTATGGTAAAATACAGCACAACAACATACAAAAGAAAGAGATCGACTTAGAAAGTCACTTACCTGCTTTTTAAAGTTTTGATCAGCTGTAGTTTGAAATTGCGCAGAGTTTTTCTCCTCTAAGGGCTTATTATGCTGTCTCTGTTGCTATCTTGTAGCGGAACGTCAACCATCTTTGCTCTGCTCAATGACAGACTAATGAATGCAGACGCGCTTTATCTCTGAAATTGTAAATACTTAAAATAGGCACTATCCTCTTAAATAAACTATATAGTTGTAATCTAAACAACTGCATTCTTGCTTAAAAAAAAAGCTTCAAAAGTTCGTTATGTTGTCCAACAGCTGCAATATTTGTTAAACTTTAGTGGGTTTATTGATCTTCCGTCACTTTATGTTGACGGGGTAATACAGAAGGGTGAGGAAGCTGTACGACGAGTACTGTTATTGCAGAATATCACACCCAATCAGATTCGAGAACCAGACAGAACTGTTATAGTGTGATGGAGATATATATATATTGTAGGGATGGCATACAGTTTAACCCAAAGAATGACCAGTCTGTCAGTGAAGAAGAGCTGGAGTCAGAGATTCAAATAAATAAATAAAGTTTACTAAAGATAGTTTGCAATTTCATCAGCAGAAGCCAGCTCCAATGAGTTCCTAGGCCGCTCTACTTACAGTCACCAATCAATACTAATTATACTCTCACATAACGTGATTAACTGCGTCATACATATAGGTGTTCTAACCTGATTGGTTAAAACACAGATAGACTAGTAAAATATCCACGTGGGCTTTGTGCGTACAATTCTGAACAATATCTAAAGCATAAACGTCAGACATCCACTAGACTGTTTAGAGCTGACTCCAGACCTGTAAAACGGATCCACAATCAAATAGAACACACACACCTCAAGTACAATCTGTTTCTTATGCAAGACTGAGTGTACTCTGCCGTCTTTATCAAAACTGGTTAAAAACCGGTATGATCTACATTCAGGCAGTTATAATATCCTTAATACACAAAGTCTATCTTGAATAAAAATAAAAAGTAGAATCACTTTAAAAGAATTAACCGTAAAAATAGCAAAATCACTTTAGGCATTTTAGATAGTATTAACATAACAATAGAAACAATTGATTCCAGTCCTCAGCCCTCAGTTCCTCTCAAGGTCTCTGAGACCTCTAACCAGTTTGGTGGCTCCTGAAAGTAGTTATAAAGAGACAGGCAAATGCACTGAACATTCTTATATTAAGCAATGTGTCAACTTATAATTAGTTAAAATCAATTCAAAGGTAAATATTCATTCAAATAATCAAAATAACTATATTTAATAAAACAAACTATGAGAAACAGGATGATGAAAAGGATAAACGTTGGTCCATGATGAGACGGATTGGAAAGCCGAAATCCTTTCAATATATATATATATATATATATTTTTTTTTTCAACAAATTGCTAAACCTAATAGTTTTAATAACTCATTTGACTAGATATTTTTTTAATTACTTCTATACAGCTTTTAGTGACATTTAAAGGCTTAACTAGGTTTTTTCAGGTTAACTAGGCAGGTTAGGGTAATTAGGCAAGTTATTGTATAACGATGGGTTTGTTCTGTAGACTATCGAAAAAATATAGCTTAAAGTGGCAAATAATGACCTTTAAAATGTCTTTAAAAGAATTAAAAGCTCCTTTTATTCTAGCCGAAATAAAACAAATAAGACTTTCTCCAGAAGAAAAAATATTATCAGACATACTGTGAACATTTCCTTGCTCTGTTCAACATCATTTGGGAAATATTTAAAAAAGAAAAAGTAATTCAAAGGGGGGCTAATAATTCTGTTATTATTTTTAACTGTATATAAATGAGGACTGATTGCTTATTGAAAAGAAGATGTGCAAACAAGTAGCATTAAGTATTCATTATAGTGCAAGTACTTTCTATCAGCTGTAAATAAATGTTGTACTTTTGCAGTGGTTTCAATTTTTTTATACCATGTCCCCCTAAACCAGGGGTCGGCAACCCAAAATGTTGAAAGAGCCATACTGGACCAAAAAAACAAAAACAAATATGTTTGGAGCCGCACAAAATTAAAAGCCTTATATAAGCCTTATAATGAAGGCAACACATGCTGTATGTATTTATATTAGCTATATTAGTCTACTATAAAAATGATTTGGTTGGCTACAAATACATACTGAGCCTTTATGATTAAATGTTTTTTTACCCTGCAGTGCATCCTGTAGAGAATGACGCACCACGTGACTACTCTGTTGTACGATGCCGTCTCAAGTTTAACTTCATTACAATATTAATGAATTATGTTTAATGTTAAAGTTTAACTTCATTACAATATTAATGCATCATGTTTTGCTTTGATGAAATTAAAGAAATGCAGTAAAGAAATCATATTTTTGATGTTTTTTATTTTGACGATTCCAAAAAACAACATCAAAATGAACGTGCATAACGTGCCCCTTACTGGGAATGTGCTCAACAAGGAAGGGTCAATCTCCAAGGGTGTGTGTCAAGGAAAGACAGTCTCGTATTTTCCTTTCGCCACTCGCAAAATCTGCTCCCAAATGCAGTTTGCATATCAACGATCGCACCTTGTAAACAATCACCGTTGAGTGAGTGATCAGGATTGGCTTCTATGAATTCTCTCAGGGAGGGAAAAAGAGAGAGCGTGCCCCGCTGTACATCTTTGGCAAAGACAGCTTACGCTCCATGGCGCAACACACAGCCGCCGGATTGTTTACAACAGCCACCTGCCTATTCCATGTGTCGCAGGCTATGACGCAAATCTTCGTTGACAGAAATGTTGAAAATAAATATTCTACACACTTTTACAGCATTGGAAAACGTTAAGATTGTTTGTCCTCCTATAGAAACCATATTAAAACAAAAATATATTTACCTCCCCCATCTTTTTCCGTTTTCAAACATTTTTTGAAAAAGCTCCAGGGAGCCACTGGGGCAGCGCTAAAGAGCCGCATGCGGCTCTAGAGCCGCGGGTTGCCGACCCCTGCCCTAAACCATAGGTTTTAAACTTTATTCCTGGAGGGCCGCAGCTCTGCACAGTTTTGCTCCAACCCTAATCAAACAAAGCTGATAGAACTAATCAAGGTGTTCAAGAACACTAGACACTATTAAGCAGGTGTGAGTTACAGCTAAACCATGCAAAGCTGCAGCCCTCCTGGAATTGAGTTTAAGACCTTTGCCCTAAACCAAACAATGTTTCTTTGACCTCCCTGTGATTTTTAAATGAGTCCATCATTAGTGTTGAGTTGGTAACTTACTCAGACAAAGGACAATTAATTATCTTCACTGAAAAAAACTGGCAACATTTTTTTTCATAGTATATAGTTATGTTTGGTCCCACTCCTAAACAATCGGTGTTAGATTTGAGCAAATACAAATGTGACCTTGTTGATTGTAACTATAGCAACTTTGGAAGCCATAATGCGTGTTGACCTGTATTCTGCAAGAAATGTTTTAAATTAGCGAGTTCTTATTAAAGATAAGACTAGTGAACGCCTAATAACAATTTCTTTTTTTTTTTTTCACTTAAACATCCCAATAGTTGCTGACCACAGGTTAAAAAACCACAACGTTGTGTGAGAGTTTTAAAAAAGGCATTATAAATGTGTGTGGGAAAAAAAAGTGTTGAAGCATTTGCAAGAAAAGACTTCTGCTGTGCTAAGAATGTGATGATGAAGATCGAGTGGATCCAGGTTTCACCAAGCATGTTTTAGCAATTTTGAAAAAACTATAATAAGGCAGTTGTGTGATACTTTAAAAAAGCAGCCATCTGTTTTAGACTAGAACACTTCACTCTTTATCATGAAGCTTTCTTTTGTTCGCAGTGAATGTTTTTGTACACTGACTGCCATTTTCTCACATCTCAGGTTCCTTTCACTACGATGCTGGCTCTGTTGTGCATGTGGTTTGGTATCTCGTTGCCTCTCGTGTATCTGGGCTATTACTTTGGTTTTCGCAAGCAGCCATATGACAATCCAGTCCGCACCAATCAGATCCCTCGACAGGTCCCTGAGCAGCGCTGGTACATGAACAAGTTTGTCGGGTAGGTCATCTCATTATTGTGTTTGTTAGAATGCGAGTAGGTGACATTCACCAACTGTACTTTCTTAATTGCACTTTAAAAGTTCTGATAGTCTTTCTTTTTTGACTTGATCTAGTAAAGCGGCTTCTCAAACAAGAAAAAAAGTATGTTAGGTCTTTGTTTTGTCATTTTAGTAGTGTTGGGTTTTGTTAAGAATTTTTTTTTTTTGATTCACTACAGAACAAACCACTGTTGTTGTCTTTTAATTTTCAGCCAGGCAGCCCAAGGGCTTCTAGTGAACTGTCTTTCCATTACAAAATTGTCAAATTTAATATCTAATTTCTTTAAAAACAGCAATATTCACTCCCTGTTAGATATACGATATGGAGTGGGTCTCAGATCGGACAAAAAAAAAAAAATCCCATTTCCGCCACAAAGTCTTAAAAATATGGAATATTTTATGGAATTTCTGCGCTAGTCTGTCGCTACCGATGACGCAATCGGTTACAATGGTCTTTCATCCCGTTTTATGATTGAATAACTAAATGAATGCTTAAGTCTATTTAGCTGAATGTATTGTAATTACATTACAACATCAACGCTGTAAAAACAACCTGTGAAATTTGAAAAGTCACATAAGCTTTCTCCAGACGTTTATCGATGGCTTTAAAACTCTAGCTGTGCATACAACTCATTAACCTAGTTAAGCCTTTAAAATGCACTTTAAGCGGAATAGTTGTATCTTTCAATATCTAGTATGTTATGAAGTATGAATTTTTTATCAATAGTATGCTAAAAACCAGCTTCAAATATTAGCAATTAATTTGCAGAATCATGACTATAATTGGCATCGGCACCCATCACACTTTTCGCCCCATAGACTTCTGTTCATACACATGCGAATGCAACAGACCAGAAACGCAAGCTTGTGCAACAAATTTCACAGTTCGCTGTGTAGCAAGTTTAAGCTTGGTGAACTCTGACCTGCAAAATCGCATTACATGACTGCGTGAGATTAATCGAGGATCAAAACATGACCTCTTTGGACAGAAATGTAAAATATGGACCAATCGCCTGCTTTTTTTAAAAAATCCCACACCTTTTTGCAGCAACGTATAACAGAATTTTGCATGCTGAAAAACTAGTGTGACCGTGGCATCAGTCACAGTCTAAAGGCATGTGAATGTGAAATAATAAGAGATTTGCATGGATGCATAATTTTTAATATACACTGCACTATTACATAAAAAAAAAAGATTGACTTCAATATTGACTTCATGCTCAAATGACTTTTATTTGTTCTCTCTCTTTAGCATCCTGATGGCAGGAATCCTGCCTTTTGGTGCCATGTTCATTGAGCTCTTCTTCATATTTAGTGTAAGTAACACTAAATGTACATAGTTTATAGCACAGGCGTCAAGTCCAGTTCTTTAAGGGCCGCCGCTTTGCACAGTTTAGTTCTAATTCCCTGCTTTAACACACTTACCTGTATGTTTCAAACAAGCCTGAAGGACTCAATTAGTTTGATCAGGTGTGTTTAATTAGGGTAAAGCTAAACTATGCAGAGCTGTATCCCTGGGGAGTTTGATACCTGTGTTTTATGGGTAAACACTGCATACTCTATCTAAAATTGTACACATATTGATGCTTTACATTGAGGTCTGCTCATTTATAGGCTATCTGGGAGAACCAGTTTTATTACCTGTTTGGATTCCTCTTCCTCGTCTTTATTATTCTTGTGGTTTCCTGCTCTCAAATCAGCATTGTGATGGTGTACTTCCAGCTATGTGCAGAGGTAGGTATATGATCACAGACAAAAGAAAACTGATTAGTTTCATATTTGGAACTTTAAGTATTTGCTTAAACGATGTGTACTTTTTTTAATGTCTAACTATTCAGAACATTGTATATTTACATGATTACTTTATGTTTGTGTAGATTAATCATTATTGTATTTTTACATTTTGCAATTTGATTCGTTTTATACTGGGTTCAACAAATGTGGAAAGATATTGCGTGTCATATTTAACAAACTGTTTGCTGCTAATTTTATGTAATTTTTCTCACATGGATAATTGAATATTAATCAGATGATGTCATTACACTGCTGTGCCGTCAGCCAATCGTTGCATTGCTGATCATAATTTCGAGGATGTATAGATCACAACACATGCAGCGATCTCAGATCAGTTCATCCAGACATTTTAATCTGATTCACAAACTTTTTTTGAAGGACCAAATTAGCCAGAGATCAGTTATCAAGATGAAAAGATCCAGGATCTGCCAAATCATCTTAGATCATTTAAGCGAGGTACGAAGAACGGACCCCTGCTTTGAGCTACCAGAATTGTTGCTATGACAACAACTCTTAGATGAGTTTTGAAGAACTAATTGATCCTGGATCATGTCAAATCATCAATATCCAAAACTAGCTAATTGAGTAATCCACCTACGAAGAACAGACCCCAGGGGCCTCATGTACGAAGACTTGCGTGGAAATATATTCTTTTGTACATCCGAATGAACGTGAAACTGAGTGCAACATGCACGAGCGCAAAACCCCTCCCTGCCTCCTCCCCCATATGAATATGCAAATGACTGTACTTTGGCAAAACCCAACGAAAAAGCAATGGCAAAAGCAAGCAAAAAGAGAAACTTTGAACAGAATGTGAATTGAAGGTGCTGCTTTCGGAGGTAGACCGGAGGAAAGCAGTGTTATTTGCAAGTTTGTCCTCCGGAATTGACAACAAAAGAAAAAAATAGAGTGGGGAGAGTTTAGCTGATGCGGTTAACACAGTTGGGTCTGAACATCGCACTGTGGAGGTAAAAGAGAAATAGTGTGATTTATAGGTGTAAACTGTTGTATGTAGTACCCTTAACAGTCTCAGTGGCGCAGCTCGTAAAGTGCATGTTAACATGTTTTGACACGTTCGAGCATGAACTGGGTTCGAATCCAGCATCGAATCCAGAACTCATTCTTCTTCTTTTTTTCCCCCACTACATATCAGATTTTGCCTACTATTTATCACGAGAAAGACAAGTAGGAATCATTAATAAGTCTGTGCATCTTATTTTATTTGCACATTTATTGAATGGAAATGTTTCTGATTCACGCATGCAAACTCATCTTCAGGTGGTGCCTTTATAGTAATGTGTGTGTAGTAGATCGCTCCCATTACAATGGGAAAACAGGTGACCGCTGCAAATTGTGCTTTAATGTTTGGCTGGTCAACTGTATGGTATGGAAATCTTATATACCTGCTAGATGAACCCGTCTCATACAGCTGCAAGGCTCAAAGACACTTTGTTGAGTGCAATTTAACACAACTGCCTCTAGGAGTCGCCAATGGAAATAAAACAGACACGCACAAAAAATGTGCGGACGCCAGCCATAAAGCTGGCGTGGAGCTGAGCACATTCCCACATTCAGTTCATCGTTAGTAAATCCAAACGTGAGCGATTCTGAGCGTGAAACCTGGCGAACGCAAAGTTTTTGTGTGTACGCAGCGTTGATACATGAGGCCCCAGGTGTGTCCGATTTTGCTTGGAACTAAACTTTGCAGGACACTGGCCCTCCAGGTCCGAGTTTGGGCGCCCCGGTTTAGACGAACCATTATTATTATTTTTTTTTTTCATTGAAAGAAAATAACAATTTTAAAAACTCACAATGTCATATTTCGTGATTATTAAAATATATCTAGGGATGATTGGATTGTTGGATTTCAAACCAGAGATTTGGCCAACAACAATACTATTTTAGCAAGTTATTTTATGGATAGTTATGATTTTGTTACTGATATCTAGTCATGCCTAGTTACTGGTAAATGTAGCATTTCTGGGACTCTACTTGCATGCTGTTCCAAGAACTTTTTGACCCTTTTTGTGTGCTTAAAGTGCTGCTTTGCATTCTTGTTGTTGATTGAGTGTTATAATCTTTGACGCTCTGTCCACTCATACACTCAGAAGATAAAAAGCAAATTTTAGAGCTACGATAACAAAAAGAAAGGTCACTTCATTTGAATGCAAAATCATCTTTGAAATGGCGATGCCGTTCACTCGGTCTGGTAAAACTTAATCACTTACTGTCAGTAGAAGTTGAATATGACAGCTGTCAATCAATGTGGCTCCTCCCTCCGCAGGACTACCGGTGGTGGTGGAGGACGTTCCTTGTGTCTGGAGGATCTGCCTTCTACGTCCTGATCTATGCCATTTTCTATTTCGTCAACAAGGTAACCTTCAGTGACTATTGCTGGTTAAGTTCATATACAACACCTTATGTTTTTGTTATTGGTTAAAACACTTTAAAATGTGTTTTAGCCTCAAACTGGCATGAATTCTACAATAGATCATTCTCAGTGTACACAAAGTCAGCTGCTTTCTAACCCACACCAACTGCCGTAAAATAACCAGTTTAAGCATGAATAATGAGGTGTTTGTGTATCTTTGTGGGACTTATTTACATTTTCTGGAATCTTCTGAAGCAGAGCTAAACAGACAGTCTGAATTGTATGTCTTGTTTATATATAAAAACACACACACGTTACTTGCATTCGTTTTTTTGGGGGGGTTTTCTTAAGGAAGTCCAAATATATTTCAGACCATTTTACTTCTTGTATGTCTTATTGGGGACCCCCTCAAAATTTAGATGGGGCTATCCTGTTCAATAAACTCATAAATTCAGTTATAGTAAGAATTTATATAGTGTGTAAGATTATTATTATTATTTTTTTATATTTATAGCTGTTCAGAAATCCTGTTTTGGTCTTAAAAGAAACCGTAATTGTTATTGTTAGTGTTGAAAAAAATGATCTGAGACTTAAATTCCATATGTTTTGTAATGTTAGTCCAGATCAATTTAATGCATGCTTAAGTAAATCTACATCCACAGGTGGGGCATTTATTTGGATACGCCTTAATAAAACTTATTGGCAATTTCACAAGAAAAACAATGGTGTGCCTGGATTTAATGTAACTTTATTATTTCGAATTATTTACAAACGCCCTCACATATATTAATGTGCCTTAAACAATACGTTAATATCACCAATCATTCCTATTTTATTAAAGGTGTATCCATATAAATGGCCCACCCTGTATATTAGTGGTGTAATGCAGTGGATCACCAAGTGGGGGTCGGGACCCCCCAATGAAGGGGGGTCGCCTGGTGGTTTACAAAAATCTATTTATTTTTATTAAACGATAAGAATTGCCATATTTTATCAATAACCTACTGAAGAAAAAAAAAATGTTGTCTATAGTTACTTTATACTATATAGTTACTATAGTAGCTTATAGTTACTAGTTCTATTGAATTGTGACCCCTGGGGTAATTACTTTAAATTAAAGACCCAGCAACAGCGTCAGATGCAGCAGTTTGATTTTATAATACCAGGTTAAACTTTCAGGCCTATTTACAGCACTGACATACATTTAAAAAATTAAGCGAAGAATAGACTTGGGTCTATTGGTGTGTGTGTGTGCCATTGCATGCAAGGTTTCAAGCAAGTATTTATGACCACCTCAGAGGATATTGGGGGTCGCGAGTCACTGGCACTGTCATTTTGGGGGTCGTGGGCTGAAAAGTTTGGGAACCCCTGTTGTAATTTATCGCAAATGTCAGTTTGGATCATGTAATGATTTCTTTAGTCACGGATCTTACCATTTTTCGCATTAGCCAAAAAGAGGAGACAACAAATGTAACTTTCTTTCTATTTATTGGCGCAGTGGGTTGCACGTTCGCTTCACAGCAAGAAGGTCACTAATTCGAGCCTTGGCTGGGTCAGATGGCATTTCTGTTTTGTCCCATTTCAACATTTACGTAGTTGTCTCTCTTTCTTTCTCAGCTGGACATTGTGGAGTTCATCCCCTCTCTGCTGTATTTTGGCTACACGGCCCTGATGGTTTTGTCTTTCTGGCTGCTAACGGGAACGATTGGCTTCTACGCTGCTTACGTCTTCATACGGAAAATTTACGCCGCAGTCAAAATCGACTGAGATCTGTCTTTCAGTTTTTGTTTCCTTTTTTTCTGTTTTGTGAAGCAAGCACTGATGCGTGTGAATTGCTGGCGTGAGGTGCAGCAGCGCCCCCCTTATGGACTGGAGGAATGAACAGAGATGTGTTTTGTACACTTATCAAAACCTTTCTCTCCTGCTCTCTCTGCCTCAGCAAAGATGTAGAGAAACATTATGAACGGTTCCATTTTTATTGTTTGTATATCCTTTTTGCACACACAACATGGGCCAAAGTGTGTCGATTTGACTTTTTGTTTGTTTAGGTGGGGAGATTGGATTTTTGGGCTGGGTCTCATGCTTTTGAAGACATAGTTGCATATTATATCATTTTACAATCTAACTCTGTGTCCTTTTAATATAATGTTTGATTTCAACTTGTTCCTATGTCTTTGATTCAGAGTTCTTGTTTGCTGAGTGAGTGAGTGAGTGAGTGAGTCAGTTAGTCAGTGAGTCAGTCAGTGAGTGAGTCAGTGAGTGAGTGAGTGAGTAAGTCAGTGAGTGAGTGAGTGAGTGAGTGAGTGAGTGAGTGAGTCAGTGAATGAGTGAGTCAGTGAATGAGTGAGTCAGTGAATGAGTGAGTCAGTGAATGAGTGAGTCAGTAAGTGAGTGAGTCAGTGAGTGAGTGAGTCAGTGAGTGAGTGAGTGAGTGAGTCAGTGAATGGGTGAGTCAGTGAGTGAGTGAGTGAGTGAGTCAGTGAGTGAGTCAGTGAGTGAGTGAGTGAGTCAGTGAGTGAGTCAGTGAGTGAGTGAGTGAGTCAGTGAATGAGTGAGTCAGTGAATGAGTGAGTCAGTGAATGAGTGAGTCAGTGAATGAGTGAGTCAGTGAATGAGTGAGTCAGTGAATGAGTGAGTCAGTGAATGAGTGAGTCAGTGAATGAGTGAGTCAGTGAATGAGTGAGTCAGTGAGTGAGTCAGTGAGTGAGTCAGTGAGTGAGTCAGTGAGTAAGTGAGTCAGTGAGTGAGTGAGTGAGTCAGTGAGTGAGTGAGTCAGTGAGTGAGTGAGTCAGTGAGTCTGTGAGTGAGTGAGTCTGTGAGTGAGTCAATGAATCAGTCAGTGAGTGTGTCGGTCAGTGAGTGAGTGAGTGAGTGAGTGAGTGAGTCAGTCAGTGAGTCAGTCAGTCAGTGAGTGAGTCAGTCAGTGAGAGAGTGAGTGAGTCAGTCAGTGAGTCAGTCAGTCAGTGAGTGAGTCAGTCAGTGAGTGAGTCAGTAAGTGAGTCATTTTGTTGGCATGGGCTGAAATTATGGGATGTAAAGACATGATGAGGTAAGATTCCTACTGTTTCCATTTGCATATAGGTCATTAGACCTAAAAGACTAATAATGATGCAGTATCATTTCTCTATTCTTTTTTTATTACACAACAATAGTAAAAATTCATAATTTCACCCGAATCATTCGAGTCTGGTCGAATGTTTGAGATGTATGTTGGTGGATTTACTTATAACATCAAGAGCATCAACAGATTTGTGCAGTGCACGGCAGGTAGCAGAACATTAGCTTGTGTTTTATGGTACTTAAGGATTATTCCAAAATGGTTCAGCAGTTTTGTTTTTGGTTCCACAATACACAAGTTACAATGTTTAGGTTCATGTTCTGCCCTATTTTCTTTTAAAACACCCAAGTAAAATCTGCTTCCATCTTTGGATCAGTCTGTTTCTCTCCGGCTTGTTTTTAATCTGTCCTCTTCTTCAAATGTATTGATCAGCAGTATATTTCTGGGTCGGTGGGTTCACAGGTGATGTTATGAATAAATGCAAGAACTACAGAATATATTTTCTACAGATGTACTTTATTCTGCCTGTTGCGTTGGGAAGATCGGTCTGTGTATGTTTCTGGTGTAAATACAGTGCTTTATGTTGGTGCTTTTTTAGTTTGTTTGTTTTTTTTTCTATCAATTTTTGTGGAGCTGTCCCAGGTCTTTGGTTTAGCATGTTTATTTTTTTTTTCTTTATGAACCCGTCTTTCCCTTCCTCCTCTAAGAATGTCCATTTATAATGTATAAAACAATAAAAGTGCCAATATGTTGACATTTACAACGCGTTCAGAACATTCAGTCGGCACATAGCATTGTCCAATTTAACTGTTGTGAAAACATTGTTTTATATAGTACAATCTCAAACAGGCAGGAAAATTCATTCCACCAGCATGGAGCTTTGAATGAGAAGGTTCTGGAAAGTAATGATTTCCTGCCGCTGATTTCAGTATTCTCAGAAGAGTCCATTATGCAGTGTAATGTGTATTTCTATAGTGCATTTACGGTGTATGGCCATACAACCAGAGCGCTTCACAATCATGAGGGCGGTCTCTCCACACCACCACCAGTGTGCAGCATCCACTTGGATGACACAACAGGACAACAGAGTAAACCACCACACACTAGCTGTATGTAAAGAGACATCGATAAAGGCATTTCAGTGGACGTGGATGAATGGGGAGGCCATGATTGGTAAGGGTCGATGAAGGGTATCTGGCCAGGACACTGGGATTACACCCCTACTCTTACAAGAAGTGTCATAGGATTTTTAATGACCACAGAGAGTCAGGACCTTGGTTTAACGTCTCATCTGAAAGACTGCATCAACTGACAGTATAGTGTCCCCTTCACTATACTGGGGCATTAGGACTCACACAGACCACAGGGTGAGTGCCCCCTGCTGGCCTCACTAACACCACTTCCAACAGCAACCTTGTTTTCCTATGTGGTCTCCCATCCAGGGACAGACCAGGCACAGCCCTGCTTACCTTCAGTGAGTAACCAGCCTTGGGTTGCAGGGTGATATGGAATATGGCACTGTTTGTAAAAAAAAAAAAAAAAACACTTCCATTCGACCCAGAAATCCAGACAGGAGAAGGTATGAAGCTCCTAGTTTTAACTCAGAGACTCGCCTGAACCTGTTGTACTCATGCCATCAACCTGATTAGCCATTGTGACATTATTAGGTGTTTGTGCAGACAGGCATGGGTGTCCATGGATGGGAAGCTTATATCAAACTGCATAAAACTTTAGAATCTCATTAGTCAGTTAAGATGGATTAGGAGAACTAAGATCACAGCAGTAAATCAACAATTCCAGGGCAATTGGACAACCTGACAGACAGGTCCGTCATGTGAGTGGATTTTAGAGTTGAAGACCTCAAGCAAGGGTGAGCTTCATCTTTTGGAACACTCACACCTGCAGCTTCTCCATGATGGACGTCCAGTGTTCTCCAGCCTCGACTGCAGCTCTGCACAAAAAGTCTGGCCAGAGGAGAAATGGTCGTGTCCAACTGAGCCTGGTTTCTCTTAAGATTCTTTCCTTCACTTTCGTCAATTGGTAAAGTTTGTTTCGTCCCCTTTGGCTTGCTTGGTTTGGTATATGTGGAGCTGCGCATCAATGGATTTGCTCTTCAGTTTGAACTTGCAGCAGTGAAATTTAAACCACACTGAACTGAAATAAACTGAACTTCAACTCTGAAATCTGGACTGACACAGTTTCAATTTACTAGAACTTCTATGTTAAGCTGCGTTGACGCAATCTACCTTGTAAAAGTGCTAAAGTAATAAAGATGAAATGAACTGAACATGTACAACCTTCCCCGTCCTCACAATCTACACTTCGGAGTTCTGACAACATTGTATCAAGACTCAAGCATTGCTGATGCAGAGCTGCTAAAGACTGTAAAATGACCAAGTCACTTCGGCTGATATCTGGCCCTAATGATGAGAGGTACGTTAACTGGACAACATGTAAGGGGCTGGTTGTGTTTTTTACCCATATGTACAAATGATCTGTAGTAGCAGCACATGAGCACTTCCTTTCACCTGGAGTAGGGTGGAACATACATATATAAATAAATATATATATATATATATATATATATATATATATATATATATATGTGTGTGTGTGTGTGTGTGTGTGTGTATGTATATATATATATGTGTGTGTGTGTGTGTGTATGTATATATATATGTGTGTGTGTGTGTGTGTGTGTATGTATATATATATATATATGTGTGTGTGTGTAATTTAATAGTTGTGAGTTGGACATAAAAAACATTTAAGGGTTTTACTCTCCATTTGGAATGTGACGGCCTTGTTGGCAGCTATATAGCTATAACTATTTGAAAACCCATGGGTTAATACAAATTTAAATTTTGAGGAAAATCACCCTTCAAGTAGAATAAATGAAGTCCTTCACGATGCATATTACTAATCAAAATTTGGGCTTTTAACAGAATAAAGAGACGTGTTTTGGCACCACTTAAGGGTAAGTAAATTAAACATTTTGGGTGAATTTCTCTTTAAGATAAAAATTATCAAAATAAAAAAAATATATGGCTCATAAATCACTGCTTGAATATTCATTGTTGTCAATTGTCATATTTCAAAAACATCAATTGAATTGCAGCCATTGAGGTATTTTATTACTGACAGTGCACTTGTCTTTTTAGTGCAATCATTTTAGTTTGAAATCATCTCTGAAATCAAGCTTCTCTGTGATGTAAGCAAGTGCAAAAAAGTTGTAAAAAGAGAAATACACAGGCTCGGCAAAAAAAAAAAAAAAAAAAAAAAAACAGGAATGAGCACAGGCTCTGCACTCTTCCGGAACCTTTTGGTTAGTTAGAAAGTAAGCGCCACCTTGTGGTACCATCACCGAGGCTCTAAATGACTTTCCAGAACCTTTCTGTAACAGTAGATCCCATATCACACATATTCTTGCACTGCTACTGGCTGAAGCAACATCAAATTCAAAACTATAATGCTTGCACAGAATGATAAGCACAGGCTTCTGCGCTCTTTTGGAAGCTTTGGTCAGAAAGTAAGCGCCACCTTGAAACTGTAATTACATTGTAATACATTGTAATTGACCGGCACAACATGGGATAGTTAAAAACAGGCGTCTCTGAAACTGAATAATTCACTTTTTTTTTATTTAGGCTAGAATATTATTTTATTTGACAATCCAGTTTGTGTTTTGGCATAGTTGAAGAATAGCGTATTAGAAGCACTTCACCTCAACTGCTATTTGTTCTTCTATTTTATCTGGCTAGCAGGTAACTGACCAAGAAAAAAATGTAAACATAGAGACAAACAACATACAAAAATCTTTTACGAATATATTTTAGCCCAAAAAATATATGCAAATTATATTTTTGCTTGAGCCCGTCCACCACTCAACTGTGCGGGTGGATGATTTTCAGTCAGTGGAAATTAAGGATTTAATTAATGCTTCAGTAATTGTATTCTATCACAATCTTTTTTCATATATTTGCAAATTTTTTAATATGTCATAATTTTAAAGATTACGTCTTGAGCATCTGATTTTTCCTTAATGCTGATGTGCTTTAATTACATTTAGATTTCAACGAAATTAAAAATTAAAAGAGAAACGAATTACGTCATAACCAGGGCCAGACAGAATCTGCGGACGTTTTTTGCTATTTCTGCAGAGAATTTTGGTAAAAATCTGCAGATTTCTGCGGAATTATTTTGAGAGTATCATAACTAAATCCTTAATATGTGTGAAATAAAAAGTAATACCTTTTTAATGTCTATTTAATGTTTAAATTGCAAATCTAATTAGATTCACTTTATTTGGTAAACAAAGCAAGTCTCTCAAATAATATCTCTACTAAAAGACAGAAAATATTGCTTTTACAAACTGCATTGTACGTAAATCAGAGGAACATTTTCATATTAGTCAATAATATTACAGTAATTGATTAAAAAACGAAATAGATTTGGATTTACACACATTTACTCAAGTAAATAAACAGAATTAACGATGGGGTAAAAATCTGCGGAATTCTGCGCGCGCAGATTCCATGTGGGCCTAGTCATAACCAATACCCTTAAATAATGTCTTTAACAGTAAGCATTCGTGTTTCTTGACATGACTGGGGGGGAAAGGTGGGCGGTGCTGGATTTGTGCAAACCTTGGAATAAGATCCTGCAAGAGCCCCTGACTGACAGTGCACTTGTCTTTTTGTACAGTCATTTCAGTTTGAAATCATCTCTGAAATCAAGCTTCTCTGTGTTGTAAGCAATTGCAAAAAAAGTTGTGAAAAGAGATACATACACAGGCTGGGCAAATAAAGAAAAAAATGTAACAGTAGAGCCCATATCACACATCTACTTGCACTGGCTCCTGACTGAAGCCTGCATCAAATTCTGAATTCTTGCACAGAATGAGCACAGGCTTTGCACTCTTCTGGAAGCCTTTGGTCAGAAATTAAGCGCCACGTTGTGATACCATCACCAAGAGGCTCTAAAGGACTTTCCAGAACCTTTCGGTTTACTGTTCCTTGCTTGTGGAATGATCCCCAAACACCTAGGACGGCTAATTCCCTGGCAATCCCAACTGCTCCATTTGGCATTTCTGTGTTTGTTTGTTCTCTCTGTGTTTGCGTGGGTTGTCTTTGGGTGCTTTGGTTTCCCCATAGTCCAAAGACATGCGGTTATACTGTAGATGAATTGAATAAACTAAATTGGCCGTAGTGTATGAGTATAATGAATAAAGGAATGAAGCCGAAGGAAAATGAATGACTGAATCTTTGTACTTGATGTGATCCCTGTTTATTTCATTGAATCGCTCCTTTATTTCATTATCCCCTCCTTGTAAGTCAGTTTGGTTAAAAGCATCTGCGAAATGACTAAAGGTAACAGATCAATGTTTATGTGTAAATAAAAGCCTACAGTAAAACCTGTTTATAATAAAGGCTAAAGACAATGCATTTGTTTGAAAACTGGCTACAGGGGGCAGTAGGAAGATGAACATCTCAATAGACCAATTACCAACCTACATCACAAATGACATCACATGGGTCTCCGGTTGCAAAAAAAGACGGGCTGCAAAAGTAAAGATGTCGTTTTGTGCGGTAGGATGCCAAATTTGAAATTCGAAATTTTATTTTAGAAATTCCAAAAAAAAAAAAAAACGTAACTTTTACTATACACCACACTGCTTTAATGCCAACTGCAGGTGTCTTTGGCTAAAAGAGAGCTAAATGAAGTGACGACCTAATTAGAAATGCTGGACTCTGCAGTTCTCATGTTATAACAGGTAAGTTCACGCTATGCTGAATCATACACGTAACTCGTTTTTTATTGCAGCAATGATTTCAGCATAAACAGTTAAACATGGTTAATTAAACTGCGGACACTGAATGCTCAGAATGAAACGTAAAAGTGTAAGTTATTAAGGTAAAGTTGGTTTTATATTTACACATTCATGCAGTCACAACTTGCGACACACTCCCTATATAATTTACCATGGAATTTTGAATATTGTTTGAAATAACATGCAAGTGTAACTTGAAAACAACATTAACACTGTTTACTTGACTGTGAACAATGTTGTACTTTGATAGTCATTGGCTGCTGCTAATATGTTTTCGCTATTAAGAGTTTGCAAATAATACTATTATGAAATTATTATTAAGGAGAAAGTCCGAATGTGCGAATATAAAACCAACTTTACCTCTATGTTTACGTTCACATACCCTGCCGTACAGGTATAGTTCGCTGTCAGAATTAAGCTGTTTTGCCTGCTGATGATTACCCAGACCTTGTACAGCTCTGTATTCTTAGGCAGAACCTCAGTTTTTTAGCACTACATAGTGTTGAATCTGGTAATCATGGAACATTATTTTGTGCACATGACCACAAAGAACAACATTGTTGGCATCCAAAGACTTGTAGACCTTTAACTTCTCTCTTGGAGCTTCAATGAGATTGTATATTTTGGGCTGGTTGCTTGGTCACTTCGTCTTATCCAATATCCATTGGCAGGGTGCTATTGCAAATGGACCTGTCAGATGAACGCTGCTCACCTTAACGTTAATTTTGCAGAATCACTGTGCTTATCAAGGGGTGACAAGCTGTTAAAATACGCTGAAAGCATTATTTAAATCAGGGGTTTTCAAAGTCTAAGACAGTGGGCCTCCCTTTTGACACAACTTATCCATTGGCGCCCCCTCCTCCCAAACACGCACACACACACACACACACACACACACACATATATATATATATATATATATATATATATATATATATATATATATATATATATATATATACATATACATATACAGTATATATAAAGACACAGAGACACAGACAGATGTCAGACTGTTAACTCACTTTTATCATCATTTGCATGAAAGTGCAACTATTATAATAACAAGTATTGTAATATAACGTTTTTAAAACTAGGATGATGGTTCAATATGAATAGAACAGATCCAAGAACTGTCCATCCTAGTCAAAACAGTCTAAGTTTAGCAGGTCTCATGCTGTCATTAGCCAAAATATCTTGACAAACCACACTTAAAGGTCGTCATTCATCAGCTGGTCCTGTCCACGTAAATGCTAAACTCAAATACTGATCATCATATCGTCGTCTTTTGGGTTTAAGCCCTGAACTTGAAGGCTTTGAATCGGGGGGTCTCAGAAACCGATCCATTGTATTAGCAGGCATATACCTGTATTGGCGGGCTTGCCAAACAGAAGCGAATTCACAGCTATGGCCTTCTGGGTAAAAAAGGTTTTCTTATTTTTGACGTATTATTTTTTTTTTAGCTTTGTTTAATTAAAACGTGTAAATATAATAAAACTACATATAATAATTAAACTTAATAATTATATTTTTATTATATAATATTTTTCCCGCGCCTCCCCTGATGCTCTGGCGCCCCCCAGGGGAGGCACGCCTCACACTTTGAAAATCCCTGATTTAAATAATATATATGTTTAATCCATATATCTTATTTCTAAGACAACAACAAACTCATTCGCATCAGATGTCATTCCCTCGATGTAAATGCTAGCGCTCCCGGTTTCTTTCTGCCACCTCCCTCCCTCCAAAGTTGTTTGGTCGGCTGGTTATTCCACCAGCAAGGAACAGTAAACGAGAAGGTTCTGGAAAGTAACTTGTATCACAAGGCACTGCTCAGTGTTTTCTGAGAAGAGCAGAAAGGCCAAGCTTTAGCTGTTCTTGGAAAACAAGACAAAACTGTAAAACCTCAAATTCCTCCAGATTTAACATGATTTTCACATGAGAAATGATGTTGCATTATGTATTGCCGGTGGGATTTTCGGAACCAACTCTTTGAGATGTGAAAGTATAGGTTTGAGATACGCATTATAATTAAGCCTGGCTATAGCTCAGTTTTTTATTACTTGGAATTGTGCCGTTCTTGTCTTTTCATTTGTGTGCTGTGTGTGGTTTCCTGTTCTGGCTGTCCGGTATGTGAATGGCAGTTCTCAGCCTGTTTTCTCCTCGCACCCTCTCCCACCACGGCAGACAGGAAATCAAACGCTTAAAAAAAAGGGACGCCAGAAATATGAAACCGTGGGTTTGTCTTTTAATCATTTTAACATAACACATTACAAGTCAAATGGTACAATGTACTGTACAATAAGTAAATAGGTTTGTTGTAATGTCATCTCTTTGGATCAACCAATATACAAATCTGTCAACTTTACAATGCAGCAACTGACCGCAGGTGAGCCGTGTAACAACAGCAACTACAACAACAAAAAGCACACTGTTTGTCTCCGTTACGCGTCTATTGTACAATTCGTCCTGTCAATCATCGTCTCCGAGTTGTTTCAGATATTGTAAGAATGAGTATTCCGTTTGTTGTTTTCACCTTTTTTTCAGAAGTTGTGGTAATAAGCAAGTACTAAAAATAAAGGACTATATTGCTAAACGAGTTACATAAAAAGCTTGGAATGCAAGACTTACATTAAGCTAAAATATATCAAACTACAAGTGGATTTTGTCCTCATGGGACGTACCCATTTTCTTACTAGAAGCCGAAAGAGCATCGTCTTTTTTTTTTTTCCTTTTTTTAAAAGTCAGATTGTTTCTTTTACCCTAGTTTGGTTACCTTACAATTTCCCTTAACATTTTGTTCTGTTATAGGAACCAACTAGTATCTCAGGGGGGAGAAATACAAGTGCATTGTTACAAACGAGGAAAGGATCCACTTAACTTTGTTAATTATTCTGCGGCGAAATAATAAACTGAAGATGCTGAGCTCCACCTATCCAGGCAGTTATTACATAAAACTTCATTTAAACCAAAAGTGCTTTTTTTGGAGGGGCAGAAAGCTGAGAGAAATTTCACACCAGTCGAACCTGCCAGCGTGTTATGTCGATTGAAAACACCTCAGTCTATAGATGGAGCTGGAAATGTTCTTATGTTTGCGGCAATGATGGTTTCAGACACTGAGAAGGTGTTACTCTAATAAGATCTATTTCACAATTAAATGACTTCCTCAAACGTATGACAAGACAAAGTTTGGGGGGGAAGGGTGAGTATTAGTGAACGTCTATCTAAAATACTGTTACTCTTTTGGAAAAAGGAGGAAAACAGCAATTACACGAAGATGAATAAACTCTACACATCAAACTAATGGCACATACAAAATCAAATACAAAATTAAAAACATACAAACATACAAGGCTGAAAAATACTCTTTTTAAAGGTTTAAAAGTGCTAGGATTCAGATCAGCTCACAGAAAACCTGGGGAGGACAAACTTAAATATTGCCAAAAGCCTCTTTTTTATTAGGTTACATATGCATCTCCTCATATTTCTTCAAAATAAATAGATTTTTAAATATAACAAAATAGTACTTTAAGCCAAATGTTTCATTTCAATCTTTATTTATTTTATATAATTTCGTCTGTACACTACTCAATCAATGTTTCATGCTTTTAACTTTTACATTTTCTAAAAATAATATCTTTATTGTTATTATTATGAGGAGATTGACAAGCGGATTGGTGCAGAGGAAGCAGTAATGCGGTCCATGCACCAGTCCGTTGTGGTAAAGAAGTAGCTGAGCTGAAAGGCAAAGCTCTCGATGTATTGGTCAATCTACGTTCCTACTCTCACCCATGGTCATGAGTTTTGGGTCATGACCGAAAAGACAAGATCTCGGATACTAGCGGCCAAAATGGGTTCCCTTCGCAGGGTGGCTGGGTGCACACCCTTATAGATAGGGTGATGAGCTCTGTCACCTAGGAGGTGCTTGGAGTAGAGCTACTACTCCTCCACATTGAGAGAAGTCAACTGAGGTGGCTTGACCATCTGTTTCAGATCACTCCTGGATGTCTGCCTAGGGAGGAGTTCCAGGCATGTCTCACCTGGAGGAGGCCTCAGGGAAGACCCAGGACTCGCTTGAGGGACTATGCCTCTTGGCTGGCCTGGGAACGCCTTGGGATCCCCCCCGGAGGAGCTGGAGGAAGTGTCTGGGGAGAGGGAAGTCTGAAGTCCTCTCCTAAGACCCGGCCCCGAAAAAAGCGAATGAAAATGAATGAAAGAGGCTTGTGAACATACTATATTTGGCTTTCTGATGAAACTATCATTTGAAGGAAATTCTTCGTACAGTATTAGCAACGCTCTTTAGTTCGCCATTGCGCAAAAACAAGTTTCTTCTCCCCAGGTTTTTGGTATGAAAAACAAATAAATGAGGTGATGCGTTGTGTTGTTTTGAGGTCCTGTTTCAACAAACAGAAAATAATATAATGACAAAAACGACTAGGCAATATCCCAATCAAATGTCCCATGCTTTGAATGTCAAAGACCAGGCTGGTGACTTCTTTGTGTCTCTTTTCAGACCCTTTTCATAAAATGTTCATTCGAACTGAAGCAGCTGAAGAACAGAGAAAACAGTTCACGTGTACTAATGTGCATGTTTTCTGCTAAAGATTATTTGCAGTTTTAAAAAATATATATGTTTCCAGAGTGGTCTATGGTTGCTGGCAACCACAGCACCAAGAGCAGCATTATATTGTTTTGTCTTAGTTTTGTGGTGTGGCCTTTTACCATTCTATTGTCTTTCCTGTTCACATTCACTATTGATGCAGATGTGGACACAGAATAGGGATGAGGTGAAGAAAGAAAGAGAGAGAGAGAGAAATACATCTGTTTTTATCAGACATGACTTGTACGTCCATCTTCTGTTTCTTTACACAGAACTCTTCCTCACATGGCCATTGGTAATGAATGATTATTTGGTAAGAATGTGTGCAGTCCACTTGCTGGGAAATGGCAACTTAGACGACAAAACCCCTTTAGATTCTTGTAATATAAAAACCGAACCTACAGCAACTGGAATTGTGGTTTCAGTCGTTTCAGTGTGACGGTGCAAAATGATCACGGAGGTTGGAAAATTGTACAACCAAACACACCAACAGACAGCATCCGTCGAATACTGAGAATTAACAAAACAAAACAAACTGAAACCTGGATCACATTATGGGCCTCTAGTACATGCGCTAAAGATTAAAGACTAGTCCGTTCTACTGGATTATGCCACTATTAGTCTATTATACGCAGGTAAAATCCCACCTTATTCATGACTCACATGGAGAAACAATAAACAGGAAAAGCTATAGGGAAAAGCTAATACTTCATCCATTTTGTTCAATATGATGCAAGATACATTATTATGTATCTGCTTTTCAAAAATCCATCAGCAATTGTAATACAACTATCTAAATTACAAATTTTACTGAAAAAGAAGCAATTATAATATATATTTTTGATGTGGTACTTCGTACACGGCAAAAAAAATATTCTTGTTTTTGTTTTGTCTTTTTTTTTTCCATTCACATATACCAGGGTTATCATTACAATGTATGTCTCTCTAAAATAAAACCTGCCTAAAATACCTTTTTCTTCTTAAAATACATATTTATATATATTTATAGATTATTATCTGGTGGGCAGGATCTGGAAGTGAGATATTGTTGCCACGGAGACTTAAAATTAGTGCTGGAAAGAGGAAAACCACGCTGAGACTCTGAGTTATCTGGAGGTTGTTTGTGTGTAATGGCAGTCTCTTTTCAGAAAGGTAGAAGGTAGAGGAGTGAAAGGGGGATTTCAGTGGGCCACCTTGGCAACCCACATAGGTCAAGTGCCTTTTGCTGTAAACAAAGTGCTTCTTTTGAGAAAAATTGTAAACCTGTAAGAATTTAACGTTAAATTTTGCTTTAGTTCTGTCAGTGGTCACATTGTACCAAGTGAACAAACTGTGCAGTTTTTACCCTCTTTGCCTTTCCATTTTCAGTCTCTCTGCTGCTCTCACATTAAAAAAAGGTTACTGACCTTTCCAATGTGTGTGAATTTGTATCATCATCAACAAAAAAAAAAACTGGGATGTGAATTTTTATAATCTCTTGATTAAATCAAGTCGAATCTATTGAAAAACTCATTTTGAAATTAGCAATTTCTCTCCATTCCTTGACAAATTTGTCCACTCCTGGCCATGAAGACGGTTTTAGTTTTAGGGCGAACAACTATCACCTGACTTTAAGCTTAGTAGAATAGAGACAATATAGCAAAGTCAGGTCTCACATTTGGAAAAGAAAAGAAAAACCATATATCACTTCAAACTAGTCTTTCAGAGTCTCAAAGACAGATTATCTTCTCTAAATCAATCTTTTTTTTTCTACTAATAGTATTACTTTATAAAGTATGCAGTACCATGCCTTAAGGCCTACTGATGCTGCTGTCTAACTACGAAAATGTAGGAGAGGGGATGATGGGAGAGGTTCAAAAGGGTATTCAAAAAAATCATAGCTAAATTTCAGACAGCCTAAATAAAAGCTCATATGCTTATTTTCCTCCAGGCTCAATAAAAAAAAAGCTGTTGTGCGCTTTTGTTAAGGCTTCTATGTGTTCAAGTTTTCTATCTCCACACCCCTAGGGGGAGCACTAACACTGAGCCCCCTCATTGAAAGGCCTGGTGAAAGCGAGGCAAAGTGGTCGTACTGAGGCTAGAGCTGAACACTGGTGGGAGTGGGTGCAGAGGCCCAAGACCGAGACCCCCACCGGAGCCTGGTTGCTCCTGAGGTTGAGGTTGCAAAGAGGTAAGAGGCACTGCGGCGGTGGCTGTGGCAGCGTGTGGTTCGACAGCATGCGAAGATGCTGACGATGATGAGGAAGAAGAAACTGTGGAGGGGGTGGAGTAACCCATTACCAGTCCTCCCGAACTCATGGGGGCACTGTAAGGCTGTAGATTGAGTGGAATAAAGCTCAGCAGATGAGAAAAGTCCATGTTAGCAGCACACAAAGACTCAGCAATGACAGCGGGGCTCTTGGACATGAGGGGGTCCCCGCAAAGGTCATCCGACAGTCCTGTCGAAGGTTCCAAACCCTCCTTGATGGGGGAAGCTGCTGAGTGGGGATCGGCAGAGGATGGCGGAGGTACTGGGAGTCCACTCTGTAGATCCATCAGGAAACTCTCCATCTCCACCTTCAGGGGCTTCTCAAGCAGGTATGAGGTAGATCCGAGCTGGTACTTGGGCGGTGGCTGAGGGTGCTGTTGTTGCTGGTTCTGCAGGGAAGGCTGTTGCTGGTGTGTAGGTGGGGACTGGTGGTGATGGTGAGGGTGGTGATGGTGATGATGGTGTGGGTGATGGTGGTGCAGTGATGATGGAGGTTCCATATGGCAGCCCATCCCCATGGCAGTAGGTAACGACCCTGGGACCAATGAATGATGGTGACCCACACCTGGATTGGACATGGCCTGGAGATGATGAGGGTTGTACATACCCATGGGAAAAGGGGTGGCACCGTGGAAAGGCTTTGCCATCATTGAGTCCTTGGTAGGTCCCATGCTACACATCATAGGGCTTATTTCTTCTTTCACAGCACACGGTGGAGAACCAGACCCAAGTATACCCAACATATCTGGAGGTTCTGTCTTGATTTTCAGCAGCTCTTGCGAGTGGCTCTTCTTGACATGTCGTGTCAGATGGTCCTTCCGCCCAAAACGCTGGGCACAGTACTGGCACAGGAAGTCTTTGCGACCCGTGTGTACCACCATGTGTCGGCGGACATCCTTCCGTGTGTAAAACCGACGATCACAGTGATCACAGGGGTGTTTCTTCTCCTTGGCACCACCTGAAGACTTGCCCGAGTGGCTCTTGAGGTGCTCCAAGAGTGCTGGCGTGCTCTCGTAGCTTTGCAAGCACACCTTACAGGTAAGATCACCAGCGGTGGCTGAGTGCATGGCCATGTGGCGCTTGTAGCCCAGCTTTGTGTTATAGTGTTTGCCACACTCTTCGCACTTAAAGGCCTCTTTGTTGGGGTCGTGAGTCTGCAGGTGGTTTTTCAGGTGATCTTTGCGGTGAAACATCTTTTCACAAAATGAACACTGATGAGTCTTCTGTGGGGAGTGTGTGGCCATATGCCTACAAAGGAGAAACAGATAGTGTTTAGCTAAGGACTGATGGACAAAGGCACTAGAAATTTCTGCAACTAAATGAAACTTTGTTTCAAACATGCGCATTTTTTAATCAAGGTTGTGTCAGATTGCTGGTGGACTCCCTAAACCAGGTGTGTCTACCGCTGCTACTTGAAGCCCACCTTTCAGCACAGCTGTTTATATTCCAACCAGTTCCAACACACCTCCCTAGAAGTTTTTAGTAATTTTACAGTTCCTAATTAGCCAATTTAGCTGTGTTTAATTATGGTTATAACCAAACTCAGCAAAATGCTGGCCTTTCAGTGACTTCCAGTCTGACTTCCCTGCTCTTTGTTTATTCTTGATCCTGAAGGGCCAATTATGAGATTAGCTATAATGCATGTACCTGGCGGTTTCTAGGAACTCTGAAGACTTTGATTAGATTCAGATGTGTTTAATTTAGCAGAACCCTCCAGTACAGTGGCCGTCCAGGGGCAGAATTGGATATCCCAGCACTATACTTATTTACTTAATTAAGCTTGCACTCAAATGCATCACAATTGTTTGGTCCTTGAGTCTGCTGGAAGTACACTGGAGCACTCAAATGTAAACAGAACCCACCTAAAAAGCTTGTATTTGGAACTGAAAGCCTTAGGGCAATGGGGCTGGGAACAGTGGAAAGGTTTCTCTCCTGCGTGACAGATTGCGTGGAGCCGAAGCTTGTCCTGTGAGCTGAAGAGGGCACCGCACACCAAACACTCGCTCCCACTGCCTTCCCTCTCCCTCTCCCTCTCGTTCTCGGTCTCTCTTTCCGTCCTCCCAGCAGCGGGACCTCCAAACACTTTGGTGGCACCTCGTCGATCCTCGTCCTCCAGCGTCAGTGTGGCAATGTGGTGTGGGGCATCGGCGGCAGCTGCTGCCATGGCAGCCCTAGGGTGCCGTTGCCATTGAAACTCGGCCGTGGCTGCCCTGCCTTCCAGGCTCTGGTTCAATATCGCGGCGGTGTTTAGGGAATTCAGGCTCTTAAACTGTTTGATATCTGTGAAAAGGAAAAAAAAAAAAGATGAAGCAGGCATTTCCTTTGTTTTACACAGTTCTCTGTATATTCATTCTTACACAAGGGAACAGTGCTTACCCTTAATGTGCTCCCAAAAGAAATGTAAGTGCTTTTTCTGGCTTCTTTATTCACCTCCACACTCTCATCCAGTCCCACCTGCCATGACTGGGGTTGAGTAGGCGACAATAGTGCTCATCATCATCTTCACCCTTTCATATAAATGAAAGAAATGTCATCGATTAGTGTGTGTCTTCAAATGTTTTACTCTGAATTTCTTTTTTTTTAAAGTGGTTACACTTTACAATGAGTTTAAGGCTAATTACATGTACTAATGTACAAAAACAAGCAACAATACACAATGCATTTATTAAAATAGGTGAATGTTCCTTTGTTAATTTTTTTAAATCAGTTAAATACATTTAAACGCCTTGTAAACATTAAACAATTTATACTACTATCATATTACTAAATCAAATATTGTAATGTTAGCTTTAATCTAGAGCTGCATGACACTGGAAAAGTTTGACATTGCGATTTTTTTTCCTGCAATTATGTTTATTGTGATATGAATACAATTTCTCCAGATGACTTTATTAGCTATATCTGGAAAGAACACATTAATATAGATTATAGCAGTGGTTCTCAAAGTGGTGGTCGGGACCAGGGCCGGAGCAAGCTGAACTGCCGCTCTAGGCAAAGGACGGTCACGCCACCCTCAAACCTAAAATTAAAACGGGGGGATTCTCTATTCTGCCACACTAGATGTGGATATAACTGAAGGCGCGGGTGGTGAGGGTAGTGTCGCGGACGCCGCTCTCTCTATTATGCTGCCCCAGGCGCGGATATAACTGAGGGCGCGGGTGGTGAGGGTAGTTTCAGGGACGATGCTCTTTCTATTCTGCCGCCCTAGACGCGGATATAACTGAGGCGCGGGTGGCGAGGGTAGTTTAGGGGACGCCGCCCGAGGTGCGGGTGGCAAGGGTAGTTTAGGGGACGCCGCCCTCTTTATTCTGCCGCCCAAGACCCGGATATAACTGTGGGCGCTCTCTCTGTTCTGCCACCCTAGACGCGGATGAAGACGTGGGTGGCGAGGGTAGTTTTGGGGATACCGCCCTCTCTATTCTGCCTCCCTAGGCGGCCGCCTAAGTCGCCTCTATGGACGCACAGGCCCTAGTCGTGACCCCCCGAGGGGTTGCAGGACAATGAAGGGGGGTTGCCTAGTGATTTCCAAAAATCTATTTATTTTTGTTAAACCATAAGTATTAGCATATTTTATCCATAACCTACTGAAGAGAAAAAAATTGCCGTTTATAGTAACCATTTACTATTTAGTTACTATAGTAGCTCATACGGTTGTTACTAGTTCTATTGTATTGCAACCGCTAGGGTAATTACATTATATAAAAGACAAAGCAATAGTGTCAGATGCAGCAGATTGATTTTATATCACCAGGTTAAACTTTCTTGCACATTTACAGCATTGAGCGAAGAATAGACTTGGGTCTATTGGTGTGTGTGCGCCATTGCATGCAAGGTTTCTGTATTTATAACAACCTCACAGGATGTTGTGGGTCGCGAGTCACTGGCATTGTTATTTTGGGGGTCGCAGGCTGTAGTTTGGGAAGTCTCGGATTCTAGTATTATCATTAATATAATTCTGTAGTGGAGTGAATCATGTGTAAAAATCAAACAAATTACAGGTCGAGATAAATACAATGAAGCAAAGAAAATGAAATAAACAATGTTTTAGGGTTTTATAGAGAGATTAACAATACTCGGGTATAGATATTGAATAAACCAAATAGCACTGAATTGTCTTCGTTGTATTAATAATCCAATAAATTTTGTTTTCGTAAAGTTACCAATGCTACAATTTCTTGTGCTCAGATGCTTTAAATTAGGGGCGCCCAAACTTGGTCCAGCAGGACCAGTGTCCTGCATATTTTAGTTTCAACCCCAATTAAGCCCCGGTCAGATTACACGATTTAGGCACGATTTTCTTGACGTAGGGTGTCATAGAGATTCGAAAACGGCAAATAGACGTCGAGACACAAGATTCAATCGTTTCTTCTCAAGTAATGTGGCATAGTTCACGACAACCAATCCCATGCCTGCGACGCCTCATGACACCATCGCAGAAAGTCTAGCATGTTTAATCTTTTCTCGTCCTTTACGATGAGTTCCACCACGTGGGTGACACGGCCCAATAGGAGCACATAATTTAGCAGTTATTTTAGAGGGTGCTGCTGTTAATGAGCTGGTCAGGTAATGAAAAATCAGGCTGCATATTAACAGATGGGTTGGTCACGGATAGATATGACCAGTCATTGGCTATGCAAACTTTAACTACTTTCTCTAAAATATTAAAGTGTTTTAAGCAATTTTATCTGACAGACTGGCACAAATATACCAACATCTAGATTCTGAGTTCCCTCTTCCAGGGGCACCAGCAGGATTTTAATCAAAGTTATGCACATCGAGCACCCCCTCGCCCCATCATCGTCCCTTATTTTTATTTCAATCTCAAAAAACACTGATGCTGTCAAAGGCTACATTTAATCATTGTCGCGAGTGAGACAGAGAAAATGACAGCACATAATTGTATTTTAATAATTGAAATTATTGATTACAATAATTCATAATTAATATAATAATACAATATAAAAAATGCATAATTACACTGAAAAAAAATTATCCAAAGATGATTCCTTGGATTTACTCAATTTGTTTACGTTAAGTAGTTGTAAACAATTTAATTGTGTTGAATTTAAACAAACAAATTCAGTTGAACATTATTCAATTTCATTTGTTTGTTTAAATTCAACACAAATAAATTGTTTACAACAGTTCTGCATGCAGCACTTTTTTCAGTGTAGGCTACTTTTAATATATATTTGTTGGTCAGTTATCTACAAAATAAACAAGAATAACATCTGAGGCAAAGTGCTGCAGAACCCGTCCGCTACAGACTATGCTTCAGCGCCAAAACACAAACTGTTTTGTTAAAAATAAAAATAAACTAACCTAAATATATAATCTAACTTAAATCAAACTAAGTGAAATATTCAGTTTCAGAGAAGCCTATATTAAACTGCTTGTCACTGTTAGTGACAAAACCATTCGTTGCGCCGGTAAATTACAATTTAATTAGTTTAATCAAGTAAGTATAAATCTCCCACCATGCAAGTACATACACACTTTAAAACACACAAACACATCCCTTTATTTATTCTCATTTTTTCTTGCTTTGTCAATATATCGTAGTGTATACTGTTTGATAGTCAATTTGCAGTATTAAAAAAATAATAAAATAAATAAATAAATAAATAAATAAATAAATAAATAAGCGGCATTAACTCGCGTCCTCTCATGGTTGGTTACGCAAAATGTACGGCCGTAGGGGTGCAGGCAACACTGCTCTCTGCTTGCCAACAGAGTTTGTTGTAATAAAAGCCTGCCCTGTTTATTCAAATGTGTCTTTAATAATAACAGTTAAATATAGGCTTCTCTGAAACGGTGAATTTTTAACTTTAATTTTATTTAGGCTAGATTATTATTTCATTTACCAAACCAACACAATCTCACAGTAACTAGCTAGAGGGCAGTAATGTACATAACACTTAACATGCTTTCATGTCTTCTATACGACATCAACCATCGAGGTGCACAAAGTAAGCTTTGTGTGTCCGTGCATGTTCTGTCACGCATGTGTGTACATGTACTCCAGTTTTATGAAACAATGTAAGGCTCCTGTAATCCTAAAGCAAACACAGACATAAAGCAACCCTTAGTGATGGCTAATAAATTTGCCCTTAAATAGCATTAGATGGTACAGTAAACTCAATTATATTATTACATATATTTCAGTAATCACCTTTCTGATGGATGCATTACTTTGCTTTAAATTATCCGTTTGTATATTGTTCATTGATATTAGTTTCATGGTTGTTTTTAAAGTTTCTCTTAAGTGTAAACCTCCAGTCATTGACCATTATGGTCAGAGTTCAAAATCCACCTGTCTGTTGTTGACCACACTGTTGCTAATGTGAAAACAACAGGACGGTGTCAATCTAAACATTTACAAACACATACAGTTGAAGTCAGAATTATTAGCCCCCTTCAATTTTTTTTCTTCTTTTTTAAGTATTTTTTCAAATGATGTTTAACAGACCAAGGTATTTTCACAGTATGTCTGATAATATTTTTTCTTCTAGAAAAAGTCTTATTTGTTTTGTTTCAGCTAGAATAAAAGCAGTTTTTAATTTTTTAAAAGCCATTTTAGGGACAAAATTATTAGCCCCCTTAAGCTATTAGTTGTCTTGATAATCTACAGAACAATCTACTATTATACAATAACTTGCCTAATTACCCTAATCTGCCCAGTTAACTTAATTAACCTAGTTAAACCTTTAAATGTCACTTTAAGCTGTATAGAAGTGTCTTCAAAATATCTAGTAAAATATTATTTACTGTCATCATGGCAAAGATAAAATAAATCAGTTATTAGAAATGAGTTATTAAAACTTATGTTTAGAAATGTGTTGAAAAATATCTTCTCCCAGTTAAACTGAAATTGGGGAAAAAATAAACAACCTGTCTTATTAATGGTGGGCCTAATAATTCTGACTTCAACTGTATAAGTTACTTCCATTAAGCAACTTTCATATATAAACAATCAAATATTAAATATTTCATTATTTGAGGTCAGCATGAATGACAATAGTAACAATAAAATCTAAAAGTATATTCAGAATGGATGTATTAAATTGATCAAAGTGATCATAAGCTGCCAGTGAAAACAAATTGTTTTTTAAATATTTCTATGTAGATAATTGCTGGTCTTTTATACTTTTTACAAAGAATGAAGCATGGTTGTAAAATAATGTAAAATAAAAGCTACACAAATGTTTTCAGCATTGATAATAGTAAAATAAATAAATGTTTATGAATTCTTTTTACATTTCCGGGTTTCTCAGTAGCGGAAGACGTCATGGTTGGGTAAACTTAGAGCGCAGTGAATGGGAGAGTACAACAAATGCATCTTTAACAATCCTATTTGCTGAAATAATAAAAGAAAAACTCCTTGATGGTGTTATCAAGACTTTCAGAAAAAGAAAAAAAAAAATGTGTGAGACAGCCAGAGGACAGAATAATGTCAAATTTCCTCTTAGCCCCATAGATGCTGCAGTACAAACACATAGCATATTCG